AGATATCAAAAGACAGCAAACCCAACCAACTCCTTCGTAGAAGGGTCATTACTCTGGGACAGCAGGAAAGTAAAACTGAGTGGCTCTCTCCACCTATCTGGCCCTGACCTAATTTTCTTTCAGCCTTCGGTGCATGGAGACCCAAACATGGCAATACCTGGAGACCAGGAGCATGGGTGCATAACATTCCTAAGGAAACCTAAGGATCTATCTAGCCTTCCAAATGCTGAAAAGATACCAGAGGCCAATGGAAAAAAAAATCAATCTCTGGTGCTGCCAACTTTCCACTCTTCCTGGGACCAAGGTCTCTTTGGCCATGAAACTCACAGGAGGCAGGCATGCTGGGTCTGTGTGGATGGTGCCTGAACACAGAGCCTGCCAGAAAAAGCCAGGTAGAGGCTTAGATGCTTGTAGGGAATCATGAACCTAAGATCCGGTCCATTGGGGGGGGGGGGGGGTATATGGAATCAATCTAGAACTACCATAAATAGCCAAGGCTTAGATCCTACAAGTGGAGGTAGGGGAGGTGGTCAGAAGCTTACAAAGGAGGATTCTTTGGCCTATCCCTACAGGAGGGAGGCAGGGAGCAACAAAGCAGATTCCCACTGTGGGAGCTCCCTCATTTGCATTAGGGTCTCAAATAGCCCTCCCCCAGGGATCCTTCCCTTCCACTCAAGACAGATGCACAGGTGGGCTGCCTGAAGAATGCATGCACGCTGTCATCAAAGGGCTAGCTAAACCCAATGCTCTACAAGACATTTATCTTGGCAGTGGGATCCCACACCTGGGCTTGTGAGCAGCAGAAGCCCTAATCCAGACCTCTTCTAGGCTCCTTCAATACTCTTATAGTAAGAAAGAGAAAGTCAATGGTCCTTGGCCTGCAGGAAAAATGTGGCAGCTAGGGTGCTGCATAAAGAACAGCAGACTATGAAGTTAATGCTCCAGAAGAGATAAAAAGAGCCCAGAAGGTTGTTAAAAGGCTTCACATGGTAGCTTCAAAAAAATTTACCAGTCTCCAAAAGACCCAAGAAGAATGCAGATGTTCCCAAACGATCACATCCATCGCTTTCATAGAGCCAACCTCCCTTCCCTAACCCAACACTAACCTTTGTGGCCTCACCTGAAATTAGGTGTACAACACTAAAAAAACTCTGTCAATGTCACACACACAAAAGTTAACCTAATGGAAATGCATGCGTACTACAATAACTATGGCACTTTACAAGGTTTGCAGCTTATAAGTTATTGGGAAGGAAGGGTGAATTTTTTTAAACAAAATGTGTATGGGTGTGGCTCCTAACTCACACAATCATTGAGAATGCTGGTAGATGTCTGCGATGTGTACTGCCTACAGTCTATTTGGCTTGGGTTGGTTCAGTTCAACCAGTGTTCCTCTGGTATTTCCCATAGATGAAATTATGCACAGCAAATGCAAAATCCCCAAGATGTTCAAACTGCTCCCTAATATAGTTCCTTTTGGAACTAATCTTGCTTCCAAACCAGTGGTTAAAGCAGAAATGACTGTATTGTGCTCTGGTGCACTGGCTGTGCACCTGCTGTAGGCTCTTCCCAGTAGCAGTGCCATAATCTGATCCATACTATTCCCTTGCCTGCAAGGGTCCCCCACCCCTCCCACTTTGGGAAACTCCTGCTAATCCTTCAAGACTTACCTCACAGATTCCTTACATTTTTCCTGGTCCTAATCTAACCATTTCTTCTCTTTTACTCAACATGGCCAACCTGACTCCCAAGCCCAACACTTGCCAGTGTCCCTTCTCTTAGCACCAACATGCTGACTAAATAAACCATGACTTTCTTCCACTGAAATTAAACCATCAAGGGGTGCCTGTAGGCGTGCTCAGTGGGTGAAGTGTCTGCCCTCAGCTCAGGTCCTGATCCCAGGGTCCTGGGATTGAGCCTTGCACTGGGCTCCCTGCTCAGTGAGGAGTCTGCTTCTCACTCTCCCTCTGCCAGCACCACCCCCCATGCTCTCTAATAAATAAATAAAATATTAAAAATTCATAAAATCTTTATTTTTATTTTTTTAAATTCATAAAACCTTAAAAAAAATAAACTGTCAAGCTCATTAGGTGCTTGAGAGAGATGGCACAGAAAATTGCTGAGGTGAAAAAAAGGGATGAATTCCTGAGATGGGAGAATATGGAGCCTTACATTGCAAGTAACAATATAGTCACCACCAGGAAACAAAGGAAGACTTAAAAACAGACCATCACCATGGGAAGAAAGGAAAGAACATCTCATCTCTACAGACATAATGGCTAGAACAGTTCTCAGGGTTGTGAGTTTGAGTCCCATGTTGAGTGTAGACTTTACTCCAGGAGTCTTAGGGTCACAATTTCTCTTTTACACAAGGAAGCTCCTGATAATATTTATTTTGAGACATTTTCAGGCATTTCCCACCCTGCATGGTGTGGGAGGAATAATCAACTTGATAGCTGTTATCTAAAGCAAAGGGAGGAAAAACCCTTCCCAAGGAAATTCTGTAGGAGTACTCTCCAACCCAACCTCATGGGCTTTCTCACACTTGAACTCTGACCTTGGAGTGCAGCAGTATCTCCTCACCAGAGAGGAAACCTTAAAATGCCTTGCTCTATAGTCCTCAAAGCCCTGCTTAAACAAGCTAGTTAGGAAAGGTAAGCTATAAGAGCACATATGTGAATTATACCTCAATAACCAGTCAGCCCCATCACATCTACAGGAGCCACCTAACCCCAAGTCAGTGAAAGATGTAGGTAAATCATTTCGAAATAAGACACTGATGGGGCACCTGGATGGCTCAGTCAGGTGACTGCCTTCAGCTCAGGTCATGATCCCAGGGTCCTGGAATCACCTCTGGGTGACTCCCGGCTCAGCAGGGAGTCTCCCTGTCCCTCTGCTCCCTGCTTTTGCTCCCTCTTGCTCACTCACCCATTCAAATAAATAAATAAGTAAAATCTTAAAAAAAAAAAAAAGACACTGATAACATAGATGCAAAGAACATGCAAAGCCATGTTTATACAGCATAAAAACCAATTACCTTCTGTGTGTATTTACATTCACTTGCACCTCAAATCTTTCTAGAAATGAGTGGGAGTATAAACTACTGGACACTAACTTTCAACAGCCTTTTAAGTAACAAGACAGTGAAGAACTGCCATGACTGGCAATCACTAAGCGCCAAGTTTGGTCCCCACTCCCCACCGTGGTCCAAACCACACTTCTCTCTTCCTAACTGGTCCAGAGGCCACTTAGTTTCCCCCATCTTTCTAAGCCATCCTTCTTACAGCAGTGATTTTTCTAAAATGCTAATCTAACCACATTGCTCTCTGCTTAGAACCTCATTTAGTGATTTTTTTTCCCACTTGGTCTTAACATGAATTTTGAATTCCTTGAACTTAGGACATACCAAAGACCTTTTGAGACCAGGGTTCCACTTACCTCTTTAGTCCCATCTGTCCCACCATCTATCTTTCAACCTCAGGGAACTTCTCTCATTCCCTCTACCTTTGCTCCTCAGTTCCACCAGGGCTCCTACCACGCCTATTCTGTTGGCTGCTGTACCCGAAGCGGAAAGCTTGGCATACAGAAGACCTCAAAAATGTGCTGATTTAGAATTTTTAAAGTCTGCATTCTCAAAGGGGTTGAAAAAAAAAATCTCATTCTCTTCTTCACCTACAAAGCATAGAGACACACACTGCACGCAAAAAGACCTACGGTATGTAAGAAGCATTAACATTTCATGGAGAAAGCAATTAAGAAAACAGGGAGTTTCACTGTAATAAAGATTAATAAACCCTGTATGAAGGTTAAGATTTTTAAATTTGAGTTGGAAGCTCAAGTTCAGGCAATACAAAAACCAGCAACATGGACTCTACCTGAATGTTCCCATTTCACCTGCAGCTCAGATAAAACGACCCGGTATGCCTCCCGACTTATTAAAAAAACCACCACCAGGAAAACCAAGCGATTCCCTTCACCGTCTCTGTACCTCATCACCAGCGGTCCCCAAAAGGCTGGTCACTTAAAGGCCGAGTCCTGCCGTCGGGAAAGCGAGGTTCCAGCTGACCGTGTGACCTTGAGCGCACCCCCTCCATCTCCCCCAGCACTGAGGCAGCCTCAGACCCCAGATCCGGTTCGAGGCCCTGACGCAGAGGCGGAACCAAGGCAAGACTGGGAACGTCGATGGACACGGACGAGGAGGAGACAAAAGCCAAAACCTCCCCAAGAACGGCCACCGCGGGAAGTCTAGGCTACCCGGACCGGGCAAAGGGTGGACAGCGATGCTCGCGGAGCACCCCGAGACCCCGCTCACTCCGCGGGTACCCGGCTGCGCGCGCCGAGGGGCGGGGCCGGCAGCAGCCCTCCGCGCTCCAGCGCGCCCCCGCCCTCGACCGGAAGCCGAGGACCCAGTAAGCTCTGCCCCGGGTGGGCGCTCCCCGGGCCGGCCCCCGCCGCGCCAGCCGCCGTACGCCCGGGCTCCGCCTCGCGACCCAGGCCGACTCCCACGCCCGCGATGGCGGGGCGGCGGCGCGAGCACACAAAGGAGGCGGCGTCGGCGGGGAACAAAAAGCTGGCCGGGGCCTCCCCCGAACGGCTCGCACAGGCCCGCGCCCCCGCCGCCCTGCCCGCCTCCCCGAATGACCTTGGGTGCGTCCGGCCCCCTCCCCGGCCCCGGCTGCGCTGGCTCCTTGTAGCCGAGCGCCGCGGCCGCAGGCCCCCGGGGCAGCCGAGGCCCTCGACGAGGGGCCCGCACGCCCGTCCCCAGTGCCTAGCCGGGCTCGTGCGGCCACGCGGACGGCGGGGCGGGCGGGCGGGCGGGCGGGCGAGCGTGCCTGCGCTCCCGGGGGAGGCCCGGCCGGGCGTCCGGCCCGAGCGGGCTTGGCCGCGCTCGGCGGGCCGCTGCGCCGCGGGCCTCCGCAGGCCGCGAAGCCGCCCGCAGCCCGCAGCCCGCATCCGCCCGGTCGGGGCTGGCCGCTCGCTCCCTGAGGGGCCTGGCTTACCTGGAGTCGAGCTGGTGCGGCAGGAGCCGCCGCCGACGCTCTTGGGCGAGTAAGCACCCCCGGAAGCCACGAAGGAGAAATCCTCAAGCAAGACGCCGCCGCCTCAACCGCGACCCACTTCCTCTCCTGAGGCCTGGGCTCCACCCCCCGCGTGTTCCCATTGGCCGCCGTCCCCTCGACTCCAGCGGTCTACCGGTACGATAGGTATGTTTTCAATCCTATTGGGTAAGAAGACCATCTATTCCCGCTTTGAAACGCGCCTCTTTCCGGCCCCGCCCACGCCCGCGAACTCTAGCTCTCGCCTTCCCGCGAGATTCGCGGTCTGCGCCCCGAGGTGCTCAAGGCCTCACGGGAGTTGTGGTTCGCCGGGCTACGGCCGCTCGGGCTGCCGGCGCCCTGCCACTGACCCGCCGCGCACCGCCGGGCGACGGCGCGGAGCGTAACGAGAGTCCAGGTCGGCCTTTCCGCGCCCGCATATCGGCCTCAGTTCTGTCTCCTGTTAGTGCAGCCTTTGCGAGCAATGGCCCCCTGGTCTCTGCTGTCGGCCAAAACCTGGGCCTGCATCTGCAGCAACTCCAGGGCGCTCGCGACCCGACGTGCCAGGCCCCCGGCCGCAGGCTGGTCCCGGTGGTCTCGGACTGCCTTGCCTCTCAGGCTGGTGGTGAACGGGAGGGAAGCACAGCCTGGCCCGTGTGCGGGAGCCCGCAGGAGGCGGCGCTCGGCCAGGGCGTCCGGGGGGAGGAGGCGTCCTCCCTGGAGGAGGCCACCCCGGAATTGGGAACTGAAGGGACTAGAAGGGAGGAGAGGGAGCCTGGGTGGGAAGAGAGGCTGGCATGTCCGGGAGGGACTGCACGCTGCCTGGTGTACGAGGAGCAGAGGTGGGGAGCGGTGGCGGTGAGGGGAGGCAAGAGCCCTGTTTTGGAGGGATCAGACACCAGGTTGAGTGTGGAGGATCCTAGGGCAGTGGGTGTGAGGAAAGGAAGGACTAAACCCTGGGGGAGACCAGGGACGGAGACCCCGAGCACTCTGGGGCACTCTGGGGCATCTGGCGCAGTTCCAGGGTGCGGAGGGCGCCGCCTGTCTCCGTGTGAATCCCAGCTCCCTTGTTTATGCGGGCCTGGCCAGTCCCCACAGTCCAGCCCCTGCCTCGGAGGGTGAGGGGGAGAGGTGGAGGACTCCACACAGAACCGCATGGTTCATTCAAGGCCCTGGCAGAGGGCTGTGGGTCAGAACCCCAGGAGCAGAGTCTGAGCTCAGCTGCCAGAACTTGGACTTGGACATGGATTTGGCAACAGAAAGCCTGGCTGGCTTGTCCCCACTGTTCTAAGGGAACCCAGATCCAGGCAGTGGCCGTCACCGCTGGTCCCCGGACACCCTCAGGCAGTGAGGCTGTCACTCCAAATGCCTGGGATGGACTGTTTACTAAGAGGGGGTCTTCAGCCCAGACGATTGAGTCACGTATGGGAACGACAAAGCAGGTCAAAACCAGAGAGCATTAATGGTTCTGTGTCGAGTTTACAAGCAGTCTCTGTTTGATACTTAACGTAATTGTAAAAGAATTTGGCATGGTAGGGATCCCTGGGTGGCGCAGCGGTTTGGCGCCTGCCTTTGGCCCAGGGTGCGATCCTGGAGACCCGGGATCGAATCCCATGTCGGGCTCCCGGTGCATGGAGCCTGCTTCTCCCTCTGCCTGTGTCTCTGCCTCTCTCTCCCTCTCTGTGTGACTATCATAAATAAATAAAAATTTAAAAAAAAAAAGAATTTGGCATGGTAGAGTGTCAGATAAATCTGATTCTGCATGAAATAGTGATTTTAAGGGATCCCTGGGTGGCGCAGCGGTTTAGCGCCTGCCTTTGGCCCAGGGCGCGATCCTGGAGACTCAGGATCGAATCCCACGTCGGGCTCCCGGTGCATGGAGCCTGCTTCTCCTTCTACCTATGTCTCTGCCTCTTTCTCTCTCTCTGTGTGTGTGTGACGATCATAAATAAATAAAAATTTAAAAAAAAAAAGAAATAGTGATTTTAAGTTGGAAAGTACAAGATTTTAGTTTGTCATCATAACTGGAATATCAGAATTTACAAATTTAAGAGAAATTAGACCTTTAACACATCTATAGGAATTTTTAAATACTTGATAAGGCAGACAACAGAAATGCTAAAATGTAAGTTTAGATTCTACATTATAAATGCAGTTTGAAATGTTAAAGGTGGGGAATCCTTGGGTGGCACAGATGGTTAATCATCGGACTCTTGTGGTTTCAGCTCAGGTCATGACTTCACTGGTGGTGGGATTGAGCCCTTCCTCTGGTTCTGCACTGAGCAGGGAGTCTGCTTGAGATTCTCTCCCTCTGCCCTACCCCCTTACCCCGCAGAATCTTTCTCTAAAATAAAATAAATATCGAAAAAAATGTGAAAGGGGATTTCAGCCTATAAATAGAACCATATACAACCAATCAAAATGATAATTATAGATTTAAAAAATAAGATTAGAGGACATCCGGGTGCCTCAGTGGTTGAGTATCTGCCTTCAGCTCAGGGCACAATCCCAGGTCCTGGGATCGAGTCCTGCATCGGGCTCCCTGCAAGGAGCCTTCTCCCTCTGCCTATGTCTCTGCCTCTCTCCGTGTCTCTTGTGAATAAATAAAATCTTTAAAAATAAGGTTAGTAATTTGAATTTCATAGCCTAAAGAAAAATTAGGGTTTTCTATTTATAACTTTACTACATCACATCAAAGATGTGAGTTGAGGGGCACTTGGGTGGCTCAGTCAGTTGTGTCCACAACCCTTGTTTTCAGCTCAGGTCATGATCTCAGGGTCTATGAGCTTTTTTTTTTAAAGGGTTTTTATTTATTTATTCATAAGAGGCACAGAGATATATAGAGAGAGGCAGAGACACAGGCAGAGGGAGAAGCAGGCTCCACACAAGGAGCCCAATGGGGGACTTGATCCCAGGACTCCAGGATCTCACCCTGGGCAGAAGGCAGACGCTAAACCACTGAGCCACCCAGGCCTCGCAGGGTCTGTGAGCTTCAAGTTCTCTCCAAACCTCACTTGACACTGAACTTGGGGGTATGGACATCCCTGGCTTCCTCACAGATAATGCATCTGGCCCTGAATGTTTTCAGCTCAAAGACTGAGACCTTGGTACTTCCAAGTGCCACACAGCCAATGTAGATTATTGGGCATCACATGAGAACCCGAATCTGTGATGAGGTCTGAGGATCAGCTTTTTAACTATTTGCAAAGAACCTCTCTCTGCCCAAGTGAGTTTTAGGTACTGTCAGTGAGGGTCTTCTGGCTGCACTTATGCAGAAAATACACTGAAGCAGAATGTCAATTCCCTGGGTGGTCCAGAGAGAGCTTTCACAGCACCAGCTGGACCTGACCTCTCCTGGCTGGCCCTCTTTCCAGGGGCAGTTTGACTCTCTCTCAAAGGGCTCATGAAGGGGGTGACTCAGTGGCTTAGTCCATTAAGTGTCCAACTCTTGGTTTGGACTCAGGTCATGATCTCAGGGTCATGGGATCAAGCCCCACATCAGGCTCTGGGTGTTCTCTGCTCCCTCCTCAAATAAAAATTGTTTTATTTTTTTTAAAGATTTTATTTATTAATGAGAGACACACACAGACACACACATGGGACTCGATCCCAGGTCTCCAGGATCACACCCTGGGCCAAAGGCAGCGCTAAACTGCTGAGCCACCAGAGCTGCCCTAAAAGTTGTTTTAAAAGACTCATGCAGGTAGCAGGGAAGTCTCAGTAAATGAAGGCTATCAACTCTAGAGGGCATGTCAGCTGCTGCTTCTGACAAACCTCAAAGCTCAGTTCTTTGAGCAAATAGGCATTTATTGTTAATGAATCTACAAGTTAGTGGGGGCAGGGGAGGGTTCTGGTTCTGCTGGTATGTAGTATGGGTGAGAACGGCTTCTGCTGGGACAACTGGCTGACCTCATATTGTGTCTCATGTCAGCAAGTCACCCTGGACATCCTCACATTGGGGCCCAGCAGGGTTTCAAGATAACAAAGAGGAGTTCCAAGGCCACGTGAGGCCTAGCCTCAGAACTGGCACACAGCCACTTCTGCTGTACCCTGTTGGCCAAAGTAAGCCAGCCCAGATTCAAGGACTGAGGGAAATAGACTGCGTCTTAATGGGCAATCATGAGGCAGGGAACCTGGGAGACCAGAGACACTTTGCCATTAATCTGGAATACATGTTCTGCCCTCAGGCCACAACCTCAGGGGATGGCCCAAAGCCTGTTCCCACCCAGGTTGGTATGGAACAGAAGCTCCAGGTACTCTCAAGGCAGCTCTGAGCAGCCACCCAGTCCAAGAGGCCAGTTAGGGACGTTGGTGTGGGCTGCCAACCAGCATCATTGCCAACAGCATCACAAACATGTTAAGCTATCACCTCTCCCCTCTGCTCCAGAAGTCAGTCTGATAGGTGAAAGGTTTTCCTCCCCTCTTGCCACAGTGCTTGCTTTGGGCTCTCATATAGACCTTCCCCCGCTGCAAGAACTGGCTCAGCAGAGCTTGTTTGGTGCAGGTCAGTGAGACTGGAGCAGATGTTCACACAAGGCTCTGAGGACAGAGAACCCTCCTAAGAGAGCCACCAGGGAGTGATGACCCTTCTTCCCCTGGATGTCATGAGTGCTACCAGCTTGAAGACAGAACTGCATCAGGCATGTCCTGAAGCCCACCCTATCTTGGATTGCCAGTTATGGGAGTTCGTAATTCATCATTTCAAACTCTCAGTGCTCCTGAGGGACACTATGGACAGGTCATCATCAATGTATTTCCTTGATACCAAATGAAATGGGTTTGAATTCACATGTAACACAGGATGTAAGAAATGTCATGTTTAGTTCTTTAAATGAAATTTAATCTGTCCCCAGCTTTTGTGAGAGGGAGGTAGGAAATGTCTCTATGAACCAGGAAAGTCCTGGGTTTCTGACACTGTTCAGAATATTGGAGGAGAACCCTGGTGTTCAGTCTGTTCTTCTTACTTCAAGATGCCTATCCTCCTGGTCAGAATGTGCCTGGGGTCTAGCCTCCCTTCCTGAGACACCATCTCACCCCCAGACCCCAGGAGGAAGTCAGGTTTGGGGGGCTCTCTCTCCTGGAAATCCCATCTCCCTGACTATCCCCCACCCCCATGGACTTGCCCATACTCTGTCCTTCCTGGGAGCTGCAGCACATCATGCTTTATTCATGATCCTACATTTCAGCAGCAGGCTTTCATTCAGCCAGCCCTCAAGGTCATGCCCTCTCCAGCCTGGTGCTGGATCCAGAGGAGCCAAGAAGATGAATATGTCCTGGTCTGGGTTCATGTCCGCTGGCTCCAGTTTCCTTCCGTAGTGCTGGAGAAGTCTGGGTGATACTCTAAAGTCATGCAGACTTTAGGTCAAGGCTTTTTTTTTTTTTTTTTAGATTTTATTTATTCATGAGAGATGCAGAGAGAGGCAGAGACACAAGCAGAGGGAAAAGCAGGCTCCATGCAGGGAGCCTGATGTGGGACTCCATCCCAGGAGTCCAGGATCACGCCCGATTGGAAGGCAGACGCTCAGCCACTGAGCCACCCAGACGTCCCTAGGTCAAGGCTTTTAAAGGGCTGGTTACTTTACTCTTTGAGGACTACCAGCCTCATCAGCAGAGTGGGGGTGGGGGACAGTTGCTCCTCTCCAAGGGCCCCCTCCCCCGCTATGGCCGCAGTGAGCTTTGCTCGAGGTAAGTCATATCCTGGTGGCTCCAGCATCCCGGCCACTTCTCCAAGCAGACGCGCACGCCCCACCATACAGGTTACGCAGACTCAGGACAGAGGTGGCTCGGGGCGCTCTCAGGAGCTGCAAGGATAATGCTTTGCGCTGGAATCTGGGCAAGGGCGGCCAGATTTAGCACGTAAAATACAGGGCACCCAGATAAATCTGAGTTGCAGAAAAAGAGCGGATGTATTTTTTAGCGTGTTTGTCCCACCCAATCACTGCGCTGGCATTTCATCCGGCAACCTGGTTCCGGACAGGTGGACTCTGGGGCGGGCAATATTGTGGAGCTGGGGGCAGGGACTCCGGGGAGGGGAGGGCGGGCGCGCGGCCGAGGAAGAGGAGGCGCACTCCGCGGGCCGCACGCTTTATTGGTGGGGATCCCCGGGGTCTGGGGGCGTGCCCCGCGCCCCGCGCCCCCCGGCTCAGGCGGCTTCCAGGCGGCGCCAGTGCTAGGTGTCCACGCAGCTCCTCTGCAGCGCCCGCAGCCGGCGCTCGCGGCTCTGCTGCAGCTCTACCCAATGCCTGGACTCCAGCTGCGCCTGCAGGCGGGCAGGCAGAAAGGTCGGCGAGGTCCAGGGCCGCTCCCACCGACCCCCGACCGACCCTCGCCCTCCTCCCCGCCCCCCGGCCTCCCCGCGGGCTCGCAGGGCTCACCCGCGGCTTGGGGCGCGGGGCTCGCGGCGCAGAGATCGGCACGGAGGCTGCCTGCTTGCGGCGCTCCGCTGCGCTCTCCTCGATCCTGCGCCGCAGCTCCAGCACGCGCTCGTCCTGGGACGGCGGCCCCGGGGCCGCGGACTGTGCTTTCTTCTGTTCCCACCTGCGCGGGCGACGGGGCGGGCTTAGGACCGGCCCTAACCGAAGGTCAGTGATGCCACCGGGAGACACCCTCCAAGGACCGCTGCGGTGCCGCCCCCCAGAGCCACTACGGTTTTACTGTGCACTTAACATTTAAAAAATGCATTCCACGTATATTAGATACGTAGGTATTCGGAGCAAAAAAGTGAAAACCCTCTTGTATCATGCGCTCTCCTTGCCACCCTCTTGCCTAGTGGCAACAGCTGCTAATAGAGCTTTGCAGATCTGTGTCATCCTAGGCCATTTTTCCTTCCAAAATGAGGTCTCCCGGGGATCCCTAGGTGGCGCAGCTGTTTGGCGCCTGCCTTTGGCCCAGGGCGTGATCCTGGAGACCCGGGATCGAATCCCAGGTCGGGCTCCCGGTGCATGGAGCCTGCTTCTCCCTCTGCCTGTGTCTCTGCCTCTCTCTCTCTCTCTATCATAAATAAATAAAAATTAAAAAAAAAGAAAAAAAAAAAAAACAAAAACAAAATGAGGTCTCCCGGAGCCTGGCTCAGTGGTTGAGCTGCTGCTTTTGGCTCATGTGATCCTGGGGCCCTGGGATGGAGTCCTGCATGGGGCTCCCCACAGGGAGCCTGCTTCTCTGCCTGTGTCTGCCTCTCTGTCTCTTATGAATAAATAAACAATCGAGATCTCAGTACACAGACTATTTCCTGATGCCTTAGGTTTAAGTGCAAATCGCAGCATCAGGGCAGGTGCAGGAACGTTCCACCGGCCTCTGGACAGACTGTCCACTCAAATAGTCCTGGTGAGGGTGCCTGGGTGGCTCAGTGGTTGAACGTCTGCCTTCAGCTCAGGGCATGATCCTGCCGTCCTCCAATCGAGTCCCATATCGGGCTCCCTGCATGGAGCCTGCTTTTCCCTGTGCCTGTGCCTGTGTGTGCCTGTGTGTGTGTGTGTGTGTGTGTGTGTGTCATAAATAAATAAATAAAATATTTTTTTAAAAATGGTCCTGGTGAATTAATGCCATGAGGTCTGGCTGCACGCAGAGGGTTCCAGGAGCTTTGTTAGCAGGTCTGGACTCCTGAGGGCTCCCCAACACCAGCCAGATTGTATGTGGGGTCTATCTAGCTGAGTCTGGAAGTGGTGAGGTCTCCATAGTACCTGCCACCTTACAGACCTGCCCAGTGGCCAGCCAACCATGCCTGGGCAGCCCCCACAGCTGTCACCAAGCAGCAGTCACTCAGTATTAATAGTGACTGTCCTCCCTCCTATACACCCCACCCCAGTTATACACTTCCTCTGGAGTCCTGTGTGCCAGACCCTGAATCAGACTATGCTATGACAGGGCTGGGTGTCATGTCCCCTGGACCAGCCTTGCCTTCCTGTGCTGTGGTATCAGGCCAGGGCCCAAAGGTCAGCCTGACCCCAGGATGTGACACCAATCAGTGCCCTACCACACTGCCATGGGACAGACACATGGGGCTGGAAGTCACCACATTGTTCCCAAAACAAAAGGGGTATGTGTGTGATGCTCTCCCTTAAAAGACAGTAGTCAAGCGAGATGCTTGAAAATCAAATGCTATATGTGAATCCTAGCCAGTTTCTGGTCTAAAAAGAAAGAAAAAAAATACAGCAAACAGTCTTGGGACCTTAGAGAAACATGGAGAGGCTATTTAGATGACAGGAATTTTTGTTGAATTTTCTAGTTGTGTCATTGTGCTGTGGTTATGTAGGACAATGTCTTTTTTTCAGAAGAGGCACACCAAAGTGTTTGAGAGTGAAGAGTGTCTGAAGTCTACAATTACTTTCAAAGGGGCAGATAAGTAGCTAGCTAGATGAAACACATGGCAAAGGTTGTACTCATGCCCTACATGCAATCATTTTGCGTCCAAGACCTCACTGCACAATTTTTTCATCATTTTCATATGTCTGAAAGTGATCCAATAAAAGAGTAGGAGTGGAAGAAGCTATTGCAAAGAAACTGCAGGATGGTGGTATGTTGTTGCAGGGAGAACCCACCCAGGTGGAGGCAAAGGCAGGGCAAGGCTGGCTCCTTGCTCCTGCCCAGGCACCCACCCCTGGGACCACTGGTACCGACCTCAAGGCCGCAGACCTCCCCATGGCTGCACGGCACAGCGAGATTTGCTCCACCATATTCTGCAGTCCCTGGCTTCTGGCACGCTTGGCCTGGATGATCTGGTCTCGCTTCTCTTCCTCCTCACGCTGCTGGGTCTCCTTGAGCAGGGCCAGCCGCTCTCGAAGCTCCACCACAGACATCTCCCCTTCCAGGCCATATCCAGGGATCTTCAGGTGATGAGGAGGCCCGAAGCTGGGCGTCAGGCCCATGACCAGCCTGCATGGTTATCTTCTGCACCCTGACCTGCCCTCTGCACCAACACCAGTGCCCCTCCCCCAGGTTCTGGAAGTCTGGCCCCTGTGCTCAAGAGACCTCCTTCCCTCTGCTCAGTAGCACCCCGGCCTCTCCAGCCCTCTGGTGATCACGCATCTCAGCTGAGTGCCCTGTAGACCCCTCTACTGTGTTAGGGCCCAAATGGAGCTCACCACTGTTTCCCCACGCCAGGCCCTGGGCACCTGGGCAGAGTCCCTCTGGACTTCCCACATCCACTGGGATCAGGCCAGGCTCCCAGACCAGCTCCCATGGCCCTCCCAGGCCTGCTTCCACCTCTCCAGATGCTAGCCAGGCCTCTCATGGTGCTTCTCACACAGGCTTCAAGGCACTGGGGCTTTCCTCTCAGCCTCCACTCATCTGGCCTTTGCACACCTACGGTCTCCCTACATTGCCCTTCCCACCTGGGCCTGGGGAGTCCCGGGACCTCCTTCAACATGAAGCCTATCTTATGAAGCCCTACCTTGCCCACAACCCCTTCCCTCTTGCCCCCAGAGGTCACAGAGGTCTCCCTGACAGGACTGTGAACTCTTGGGCCAGCCCTAGGCCTCCAGCATGGCAGGTGCAACATCCACAGCTGGGCATGCCACACATGCTAGGTGGATCTTGGCTTTGGGCCAGATTGCCTTTGGTCTTGGTGGGAATTCTGGACATGCCCTCTCATGGCCATGCGAAGCACAGCAAGACATGGGGAAGCTCCCCTAGGACCAGCCGTGTCCTTACCTGGGTCAGGTCCACCAGCTTGCCCTTGCGCATGGGCTGTGTCTCCAGAGCTCGATGTTGAGCGATGAGTTCACAGCGCCGCTTCTGCTCCTCCTTGGCTGCCTCTGTGCTGCGCTGTAGCAGCTCCCGGGTCTCCTCTATCACCTCCTGAACTTGGGGGCCAAGCAGGGTGCTGAGGCTCACAGAGGGCAGTTGGGCTCTCACCAACCATAGCAGCTCACTTGAGGCCAGAAGCCAGCCTGAGACCTGAGCTGGGCATGGCCTCATGGTACCTGGCCCCCCACCATACCTATGTGCCTTCGGCCCTTCAGGAGCTTCATCTGTGCCATCTTAACATTCTTCTGCACCTCTATCACCTGCTCCACCAGCTCCTTCATGGACCTCTCCTCCTGGAGGCGCCTCTCAGCACACTGCTGCATCAGCTCAGCCATCTGCTCAGACAACCAACCCACCATGGTCAAAGCTGGAGGTCTGCCCCAGCCCTGAGAGCAGCATAAGGTCTAGGGAGCAGAACCAGCCCTTGACCCCAAGTCACCTTGGAACCGGGCTCTAAGTTCATCAGCCCCTGGGAGTCCTCTGGAGGTCAGGGCCTACTGGGGAAGTTATACCTCATGTCCTCCCACCCTCCCTCCACTGTGGTCCTGGGGAAACCAAGTCAGAACCACGAGTTTGCCCTGAAGTACACCTAGCCCTGGATTCCCACCAGAGCACAGGACATGCTAGCCCCCTTGGGCAGCCTCAGGCTCCCTGTCACATGACCCCCCAGCCATGTCCTGTTGGTCACCCCACTCTCTTCTGATGTGCAGTCTAAACAGCGGAATAGGGGGTAGTTTTGCCACTTGTATGCATGTGACTGGAATCCTCCTATATCCAGGTGCTTCTCACCTCTTCAACTCTGCACTGCATATATAAGGTTCATAATAGTATCTCCTGGATTGTAGCTGACTTATTTTTGTGGCTGTATGTTTTAGGGGAACAAATCGCAAACCTTTCATCCATTTTACTGTGGATGGACATTCAGATTGCTTCCCATTTGATGCTACTGTGAACAATTCGAATCGTAGGTTTTAGTCCTCAAGAAACTACAATGCACAATATGGGATTTACACCTCCTGTCACTGGCCCAGAGTGGCCAGGGAGCTATGGAACTCCCAACCCCTGGTGATCTGTGCAGCTAACTAGGGGCTTGTCTTCGGCTGCACAGTAAGTGGGAACCAGCCTGCAGGCAGCTTGGACTTCAGGTGCAGACACCAGGCACGATGTCATCCTTCTGTAAAACAATTTGCTGGCATGTATTAAAAATGGCTCTTGACCATCCCTTTCGATGTGTGCCAAAAAAGTAAGGAAGTGCTCACACAACAGAAGGACAGAGGCAGTCAGAGGGACACAGGAGCCAACCTGAAAGAGCTCAAAGGCCCAAGGCCCAAGCTCACAACACAATACTGCCCTGTTGGGTTATAACACAAAATGTAAAATACACATTCATGAGTCCCACTGAAAGAAGTGATTGAGTAAATAAATGAGGGAGGAGAGAGGAGTCATTCGTGCAGAAGAATTCTCAGCAGGTGCCCACTCCTTGAGTGTGGGCTCTGCTTAGAGACCCCCTTCTGCGGAGTACTGTCCAGTCGGTGGGGATGACAGCAGCAGAGAAACCTGGCAGACACAGCTTTGGCCAGGGGACCAAGTCAACATCACAGTGATGAGTCCATTGAAAGCAGATGCCCTTGAGAGGGTGTGATGGGAAGAGCAATTCACCTCTGCGGGCTTCCTCCCAAAACCCACAACCCCAGTCTAACTATGAGAAGAACAACAGACACATCCCCACCAAGGGGCGATCTACAGGATACCTGGTCAGCTCTTCTCCAAACTATTGAAGTCATCAAAACCAGGAAAGCCTGAGAAGCTGTCACACCCAAAAAGAATCTGAGACAGGACTCTTTGAGGGTCCTGGGACAGGAAAGGGCATTTGTAGGAAAAGATGAGCTAGAATCTAAACAAAGTGTGGAGTTCAGTGAACAGTCATGTACCAATGTTGGCTACTTGGCTGTGACAAATATACCATGGAGTCTCCCCCCCCCACCCCGCCCCAAACTAACATCTACCTGGAACCTCAGAATGTGATCTCATGTCCAATTAGTTGAGGATCTCAAGATGAAACCATCCTGGGTTTAGGGTGGGCCCTCAATTCAATGACCAATGTTCGTAAGGAGAGGACAAAGAGAGATGTGGATGCATGACACATGTCTCTGTGAGGATGGAGGCAGAACTGGGGTGAGACTGCCACAAACCATGGAGTTCCTGGGGTCACCAGAAACTGGAAGAGGTGAGGAAGGATCCTTGCCAATAAATGTAGCCAGGACCATGGCCCCCTGCCACCTTCCTTGATCTTAGACTTGGGGCCTCAGGAACTATGATGTGAGCCCTCCAGGTTGTGGTGCTTTGTTGTGGCAGCCTGGAAACCCTGTATGGTGGTGGAAGATGCGGCCAGCAGAGTGCTGGGTGAAGAGGGGATGGAGGAAGGTGTTGGCAGGGGCAGGGGGGGGACACACGGGAACTCTCTGTACTATCTTTGCAACTTTTCTGTGACTCTTAAAACAGCTCCAAAATAAAAAGTATATTGTTTAAAAGTAGCTTCAAAAACTTGGTAATAAGTAGAAAATGCTCATGTGGAAATCTGAGGTGTAAAGAGGTGGGCTACCAAAATCTGCGAGGATTTTGGTACTTACCTCACGTGTGTAAATGACGACAAAGAATAAATGAGCTGTGGGTGAGGAGGCCTGCGCTGTGGTGTCCCCAGGTCCCCAGCTAGGCTGCACCTCAGGAACAGTCAGGAGGGAGGGGAAGAGGCGGCATCTCCAGGCTCTCCGTAAATGGGCGTGGAACAGGGGTGTGGGTGGTGCAGGTGCAGGGGTGTGGGCGGTGCAGGAGCAAGAGGCCCAAAAGGAGGAAGACATGCAGGACTTCAAGTGCCATCTCTGCCTGGACCAACTCGACCACCTCAGGCCCTGCCCCTGTCTTTGCTGGCAAGTAAAGATGAAGGTTCCCACCTCCTCAGCACCCCCAGAGAGGTGCAGAGGGCAGGGCAGCTGGAAGGGCTCCAGTAGGCCAGGCCATAGCATTGGAACCTCTGACCAGCCATGGCAAAAGTTAGTTAAATAAGACACAAGGGCTGAGTCATCATCCAACATGAACCATACAAGAGAAATTAAAATCCCCTTCTCTTCAAATATTTAGTGCTATCTACTGTGCCTAGTTCATATAAAACATATGAGTCATGTAAATGCATATAACTGGACATTCCAGGATGGGGAAGGAAGCCACCGGGCTTATAAAAGATGCTCCAGTCAGGGTTAGCCAGACTTTGAAGGACACTATTTGGGGTTGGGGTGCTGTCTCCAAGCAGCCTAATTATGACAGTCTGTCGACAAGGCTGAGGGGAATATTCAGATGAATACCCAGATGTGGCTGGGCTGTCAAACCCTCTACGAGTGCTCTCTCCCCATACTGTTGTTGGGTGGCCTGCAACGCTTTTGGTTCTTACCTGGAGATCTTTTGCTCACAGGACCTTTGGGGTCAGGAGGGACGGTGCTAGATCATGCCAAGATATTGGAGAGGATGTGGGCACCCCTGCCACTCGCTAGGAAGATGCAGGAGCCCGTGTGGGCCTCGGAAACCCGCCTTCCCTACGATCACCCCATCTCTGGACATAGTGTCAGGATGGCAGACCATCTGCCAGTGAACATCACTCACACAAGCAGGCTGACAAAAGGATGGGGCTCCACAGCCAACCTCTGTCACCATTCCTGGAAGGAAGACTGGCAGTGGAGGCAGTGTGTGTGTGTGTGTGTGTGTGTGTGTGTGTGTGTGTGTGTGCGCGCACACATGCGTGCACAGAGGTGGCCTGGTTCACGTAAACATTAATCCAGGGAAACAGGACTGGCAGTTAATGCAAGATACAGTCAACTTCAGAACAAAGGAAGTTACCAGGCAGAGGGACTAAGAACACCCAGCAATTTTAAACGTATATGCATCAGACAACAGGGCTGCAAAATATGAGCAGCAAACACTGATGTGACCAAGAGGAGAAGACAACAACTTCACAATTAAAGGTGAATACTTCACACTCCTTCTCCAGTGACCAGGAGACAGCGAGATGCAGGGTTAGCGAGGATGCGGCCGATCTCAACAACTCTCTCAACCAGCAGGAGCTGCCCATCCATATGGAACACACAGCAACAGTGCAATACTCATTCTTCTCCAAAGGCACCGAACACAGTGTGATCGGCAACATCCGGGCCACAGAACCAATCTCAGCAAATTTACAATTGTTGAAATCATACAGGGGTGTGTTCAACAATTACAATCGAGTCACAATGGAAATCAGAGACAGAAAGATAACAAGAATATCCCCACATTCTTGGAAACTAAACAACACACTTCTAAGTAGTCCATGGGCCAAAGGGAAAAATCTGAAGGAAGATGAAAAAAATACATCAAATTGAATGAAAATGAAATACAATATATCACAATTTTTGGGACATGGCTAATGCAGTAAATAAAAGGGAAATGAATAACACTGAATGTTCGCAATAGAAAAGCAGAGAAGTCTCTTACCAGTAATTTAAGCTCCATCTCAAGTGCCTAGAAGAAGCAGAACAAAATAGACTCAAAGTGAGTAGAATGAAGGAAATAGTGAAGAGCAGAGATCAATGACGTTGAAAACAGCAAAAACAGTAAAGAAAAATCAATAAAACAAAAAGCTGGTTCTTTGAAAAGATTGATGAAATTGACAAATCTCTAGCAAGACTTACAGAAGAAAAGCAAAAAGGTACAACCCTACCAATATCAAGAATGAAACAGGTTATGTCACTATATAGATCATACAGATATTTAAAAAAGGATGATAATAGAATATTACAAACAACTCTACGTGCATATATTTGACAACTTAGTGAAATGGGCAAATTCCTTAAAAAAACACAAATGACCACAACTCCCCCATTATGAAGCAGATCATTTGAATAGTCCTATATCTTTTACAGAAATTAAATTTGTAATTTGAAAGCTTTCAAAAAAGAAATTTCCTGGCTTAGATGATTTCACTGGAGAATTTTGCAAAATGTTGAAAGAATTAACACCAAATCTCCCCTAGAGATAAATGAAAGAGGAAAGAAGACCTCCAAATTCACCTTAACAAAGCTGGTGTGACCCTCACAACAAAATTAGACCAAGTCAGGAAAAGAAAAGCACAGAGTAACATTATGCATGAAACTCTATGTAGAAACACTTGAACAAAATCAAAATAGTTAGCAAATGGAATTAGCAAATGTAAAAAGAATTAAGTACCATAACCAAGTGGGGTTTATGGTAGAAATGCAAAGCTGGTTCAATATTTGAAACTCCATCATGTGATTAAGAATTCATCATTTTGTCACAAATCTACTATATTCGCCACCCAAAGAAAAGTCACATGATCATATCCATTGATGCAGAAAAGCATTTGATGAAATTCAACACCTTTTCCTAATAAAAACTTGTGGAACTTTCATCAACATAATGAGGAGTATATCCAACATCAGTCCTTAATGGTAGAAGACTGATTTCCCCTGATATCATGAACTAGGCATAAATTTATGCTCTCATTCTTCTCCAACACAGACCTGGAAGTTTTAGCCAGAGCAATATGTCAGAAGAGCAAATTATAGGAATGCAGGTCAGAAATAAAGAAATGAACTGTTCTTTATAGATGACATGATTGTCTACATAGAAAATCCTAAGGAATGTACAATAAAACTCTTTGTCCTAGAAAAATAAGGGAGTTCAGCAAGGTCACAAGATAAAAGATCAATACACAAAAGTCAATTACATTTTAATATTACTAGCATTGGAGCACCTGGGTGGCTCAGTGGTTGAGTGTCTGCCTTTGGCTCAGGGTGTGATCTCGGGGTCCTGGGATCGAGTCTCACATAAGGCTCCCTGCAGAGGAGAGCTTCTCCCTCTGCCGATACCTCTGCCTCTCTGTGGTTTTCATGAATAAATAAATAAATAATCTTAAAAAAATATTACTAGCATCAAATACATGGACAACAGAATTGAAAATACAATCCCATTTACAATTCCTCAAAAAGGAAATCCTTAGGCACAAATCTTATAAAACATTTACAGGACTCAGATACTAAAAACTATGCAACACAGATGAAAGAAATAAAAGATTTAAATAAATGGGGAGACATAGTGCATTCATGGATTAGAAGACTCAAATGGGGGCAGCCCCGGTGGCGCAGCGGTTTAGCGCCGCCTGCAGCCCAGAGCGTGATCCTGGAGACCCGGGATCAAGTCCCACGTCAGGCTCTCTGTATGATGCCTGCTTCTCCCTCTGCCTGTGTCTCTGCCTCTCCCTCTCTGTCTCTATGAATAAATAAATAAAATCTTTAAAAAAAAAGAAGACTCAAATGGTTGGCCATGAAAGTGGATCCAGATCTCAGACTGTGTACAAGAATAAACTTTGAGTAGATTTGAGATCCAGATGTAAAAATGAAACATAAATACTAGAGGGGAGCCTGGGTGACTCAGTCAGTTAGGCGCCTGCCTTCGGTTTGGGTCATGATCCCAGGGTCCTGGGATTGAGTCCCACATTGGGCTCCTTGCTCAGTGGGGAGCCTGCTCTTCTCTCTTCCTCTGCCTGCTGCTCCCCCTCTGCTTGTGCTCTCTCACTTTCTCTCTCCCAAATAAATAAATAAAATCTAAAAGAAAAAAAAAAGAAACAAATGGATGAACTGCTCTCTAACGTGGGTATAGGAAAAACTTTTCTTTTCAACTTTCAAAATGTGGACACAATAAAAGGAAAGCTTGGTAAGTTTGCCTTGCAAAATACATCATAGCAAAGCCAAGTGACCAACTGGAGGAAATTGCCTATAATATTTTATAAAGGGTTACTTTCCCTAATGTGTAAAGAACTCTTAAAATAAATCAAAGCAATAAAGACTAAGAGCTGGTTGGAAAGTGCCTGACCCATCTTTGGCCCCGGAACACTCAGTGGGTTAGGAGACCGCATCTGCCACAGGTAGTGCTAGGGAAACTGGACCCTTACCTTACACCACACACAAATATCAATTCAGAGTGGACTACAGACTTGAACATAAGACCTGAAATCACAAACTTCTAGAAGAAAACAGGAGAAAAGCTCCCTCAAAGTGGCCTTACAATTATTATTATTATTATTATTATTATTATTTTGATTTGACATCAAAAGCATGGGCAACAAGAACAGAAATGAACTACTGAAACCACATCAAAGGTCTCAGCGCAGCAAAGGAAACAGCCAGCAAAACGCAAAAGCCCCTGTGGAATGGGAGAAAGCTTCTGCATACCATATGTCCATCTAGTAGGGGGTTAACATCCAAAATGCACAAGGTACTCACACAACGCAATAGCAAGAAAAGCCAAATACCATGGCTAAAACATGGGGAAAGGACGTGAAAATTTTCCTAAAGAAGATGAACAAATGGTCAACAGGTATTTGGAAAGATGCTTGTCATCACTAATTATCAGAGAGAAGCAAATCAGAATGATAGTGAGGTATCACCTTACACCTGTGAGGATGGCTGTGGTAAGCGTTGGTGAGGATGTGGAGAAAAGGGACTGTTGGTGGAAGTGTAAGTTGGTGCAGCCATTATGGAAAATAGTATTTTAATTTTTCCTCAAAAAATTAAAATTATTAGATTTTATTTTTATTTTATTCTTTTAAGATTTTATTTATTCATGAGAGACACATACACACACACACAGAGAGAGAGAGACAGAGAGAGAGAGACACAGGCAGAGGGAGAAGCAGGCTTCCTGAAAGGAGCCTGATGTGGGACTCGATTCCAGATCCTGGGGTCACACCCTGAACCAAAGGCAGACACTCAACCGCTGAGCCACCCAGGCATCCCCCAAATGCTCAGATTTTTAAAAAAGATTCTATTTATTTATTTATCTGAGACACACACAGAGAGAGAAAGAGAGAGCAGAGGAGAGAGAAAATCTAAAGCAGACCCTGGTCTGAAGGCAGAGCCCGACATAGGGCTCCATCCCACAACCCCAAGATCATGACCTGAGCTGAAACTAATAGTCGGACACTCAATCAACTGAGCCACCCAGGTGCCCCTAGAATTACCACTTTTTAAAAGTCATCTCTGCACCCAGCGTGGGGCTCATACTCAGGACCTTGAGATCAAGAGTCACATGCTCTACAGACCAAGCCATTTGGGTACCCCTAGAACCACCAGTTTTAAAAATTGGAATCCAGAAGTGATCCCACGTCCAATATATATTCAGAGGAAATAAAATCACTATTTTGAAGAGATATCTGCACTCCCATGCATATTGTAGCATCATTCACAATAGCCAAGATTTGGAAACAACCTGTCTGACAGATGACATGGAAATACTACGTAGCCTTAAGAAAGAAGGAAATCCTGCCACTTGCAAAACCATGGGTGAACCTGGAACATATTAAGTGAAATAAGCCAGACACAGAAGGACAGCTGCTGTAGGGTCTCAGTTGTATGCAGAATCTAAACCAGTCCAAGTCATGGTAACAGAGACGAATGGTGGTAGCCAGGGGCTGGCACAGTGGGAACAGGGAGGTGCCGGTCCAACACGGAGCTCGATCTCAGGACCCCGAGATCCTGACCTGAGCTGGAATCAAGAGTCGGATGCATAACTGACTGAGTCGCCGGGGCACCCCTGTCACACCACACACCTTAACCATACGTGAGTCTTACTTGTCAATTGTGTCTCAGTAAAGCTGTGAAGAAATGGACCAAAGCCCTGAAGAGGTCATTCCCAGGAGCGGGCCTTCAATATATGAAAACACGCTCAGCCCCACATATAACAAATGACACGCGCATTGACGCCTCTTCTCGCTCACAGGCTCGCATGAATCTCAATAGGGGGGGGGGTGCGTGCTGCAGGGGTCCCGAGGACCAGCCCCTCGCACAGCACCCAGGAAAGGCAACATGGCATCTCTGGTAAAACCACTTGCCTGAGGGCAATACCACAAAAGCCCTGCGCTGTTGGCTCCTTTCTGACATAGCAACATCCAACGTGGAGTTCACCTTGAAAGTCTCCCTCCACTAAGGGTTGCGGCGTCCCCCAGAGCCCAGGCCACTGCAAGGCCCACTGCAAAGAACAGGCTTTCGGGGGAGCCCTGGTTGGGGGCCCCCACCTAGGCCACCTGTCCTAGCAGGAGGACGAGCCCAGGTTGATATGCCCACAGCTTCTGAAGTGGTGACCTGGATGCCCACAGACCACCCTGGGAGAGGACACCAGATGCAAACATGCCCCATGTTGGCTTGTCAGAAGTTTCTGCCAGAATCTCAGGTCTTCATGTGTGGATGTGTGGGCCAACTGACTCTGCTGGTAGGGGCTGGGAGGGGGCAGTCGGGACCAGAAGCACTGGCCAGACCCCTGCTCTGAGCACCTCCAGGACCCCCGCCCGTCAAGGTGGGGAAGGAGGAAGCACACCTGCGCTACACGGTCAGCTTGCACCCCGGGCCCCTGGCTGCTCCTGTGAGCGGCACATCACCTCCTCCTTCTTCTGGTCGGCCTTCTGCTTGTTGCCCTGCCTGAGGAGCTGCCGGGCCAGGATGGCCTCCTCGCGGCTGAGCTTCCCCTGCAGCCTCCGGCACTCGCCTGCAGCCAGCGCCTCCTCCTGGTCCTTCGCCTGCATCTTCTTCTGCCACTCAAGAAACTCAGAGAAGTCGCCTGCACCATCCACAAGCTTATCCACCCTGGGGAACGGGGGGGCGGTTAGAGGCAGGGTTTGGATTCCCTCCAGATCAGGACCTGTGCCGGCCATGGGGACGCCGCTGCCTCCCCTGTGGACAGTGGCCTCACAGGCATGGGGCACTCTTCATCCACTGCCAGCCACATCCCCACCCCCACTGTCCACCTGTCCCCATCCTGTGCACCCACCCTTCAGCCATATCTCCCTGCCCCTGCTTCCTGTATAGTCACCGGACTGTCCATTGGCCTTCCTCCATCTACCTGTCTGTCCATCCACATTCCTCTGCCCGCTTGTCTATCCTCTCATCCATCTGAGCAGCCACCCAAACTCCCACCACAGCCCACTCCTGGGGTAAGCACAGTGGTCTGCCGTGCCGGTGGTCTGGGAGTGGGGGTAATTGGGAAGAGGTCTGGAAAGGAGGTGACCCCTGAGAGAGGTTTAGGCTGGGCTGGCTTTCTGCTAAGGCCCCTTATGTGTGGTCCATTTCCCTCACTGAGCCAGGATTATCTTCCTTCGATATGGCTGTGCCCCGAACACTGGTCCCACAGTCTCCCTCTTCTCCCAGAACAGCCGTCCCTGCACCCCCTCCTCTGAAGCGGGATGAGGAGCTGCCGACCCCACCTCTGCAGCTCTTTCTCCACCTGCCGCTGGTATAAAGACCCTTCTCGGAGGATGGCAGCAGTGTTCAGCTTGACTGGGACATTGTTGGGCTGCAGGAGAGAGGAGGGCACAGAATAGGCCAAGAAGTGGTGTCCAGGCCAGGAGGTGGGCATCCAGGGAGAAGACACTGGGACCAGCACCTGTGCCCACTGTGACCAGGTCAGGATCACCTCTCACCTTGTAGAATGTCAACTTTGGAGTCTTCAGGATTCTGGGCATGAATCGGAGCTGCAGCTTCTTCTCGGAGCCCTGTGGACATCAGAGCCTGGCACCTGTGCCCACTGGGTGCCCTTAAATGCACTCTGGGAAGGTGGTAGATCCTGCACCCCCGGGAGAGCCAGCATATTCCTCTCTATCGTAACTGCTGCTGCCTGGCCAGCCCCCTGTACACGGCCCCCTCCCCCGACCCCTACCCCCAGCAGCACTTCAGTTCTCTAGCACCCTCCCCAGCCTTCCTGGAGGGTCGAGACTCCCAGGCAGGGGCAGGGAAGGTATGGGTTCCCAAGCAGGGGAGCTTGCACTTCAGGGCTCGGGCTCTGCCCCTACCCCAGCTGCCCCTGGGGCTGGTTTCCATGACCTTTCCTGGCTGTCCCCCAAGCCTGCTCTGTGCCAGCTGCTGCTGCCCTGCGGACACTCCCAGGACGTCCCCCACAGCCCCAGTGTGTGGAGCCATGGGTCAGAGGGTGCCCCCAGGTCACACTACTCTGCTGGTTGCCCACTCCTCCGCCCGCCCCATCTGCTGGGGGGGCCAGGGCACCTCTGCCTCATGCAGCTGCCGCCAGGGGGGCCCACGGCAGGGAGGGCAGGCCAGGCCCAGCTCCTCTGGAGTGAGCACCCACCCAGAACTGGCCTTCCTCGTTCTACTCTGTTTACTTTCTCTTTACTGACAAACATATCTTGGGTTTTTGTTTTTCTTATAGAAACATTAAGTGGTCAGTAGGGAACTCTGGGAACACCCAGAGAGCATTGAAGATGTGTGCCCGCGTCCTCACCTGCGCACTTAAGCTGCTCTCAGCCCAACTCAGGGAGCAAGCACTGTCTCAGCCTCATGGGAAGCCTGCCCCCTATGAGCCAAACCTGAAAAGGCTGAATGAGGGGCTCATGTCGCCGCTAACAGGGCACAGGGAGGAATGTTTCCATGTTGTGAGAAAATGCCACCATGAAGACTGGCCCAGAGTGTAGAGGGCTGGGGTTACCTGCACCAGGGGCGTCCCCCGGGACCTGGGCACCGCACACCGCATCTCCTCGATGTTCACCTTCAGCAGCAGCTCCTGCAAGCAGCAACACAAGGCTCTGGCCCCCCTGGGCACCACCTAGCATCCTCGGGTCTCAGAAGGGGCAGAGGCACAGACCAGCTCCTCACTGCTCTCTTTTTCCATATAACACCCTGGAGGGGGCAGCCCGGGAGGCTCAGCGGTTTAGTGCCACCTTCGGCCCAGGGCCTGATCCTGGAAACCTGGGATGGAGTCCCATGTCGGGCTCCCTGCATGAAGCCTGCTTCTCCCTCTGCCTGTGTCTCTGCCTCTCTGTCTCTCTCTCTCTGTCTCTCATTAATAAATAAAATCTTTTAGAAAAAGAAGAAAAAAAACCACTCTGGAGGGGTCTAGGAAGGCAGGAGTCGAGGGAGACATCTGACCTCAGCCTTCCAGCGATTATATCTCCTGGTCATCTCTAGTTGCTCCTGCTCCTTAGGCGGGTGGTAGGTACTCCTGGGGATCTGGTGGGTGGTGGGAAAAGAGCTTGCGGTCAGTGGCTATGATTCAGAGGAAAGTGTAGACCTCAGCATGAGGAGAGCAGGGATCCACTGGGCAGGCTCCAGTTCAACTGGGCTTCCCCACAGTTGGGTGGGGTCCCCTGAACACTCCTGGTCTGCCCAGAGCACCCTCAGTCCTCGGAAGAGCCCAGCCCCCCACTGGCTCACAGCCTGTGCCCACTGCTGATGTCTGCACTTACTGGTTTTGGCTTGTTCATGACAGGGACCGGCTCAGGCACTGGAATGGCACGGGGTCGGGGAACAGTCAGGTTGAACTCCTTGGGCTCTGTGACCTTGGCCTTGGTCTTTGGAAGAGGGGACCGATTGGTTATCACTTTCTCCAGCTGCTTGATCAGCTCCTGGACCTCTGGCTGCCATCTTGAAGGCAAAGGTAGGAGCAGCAGCTTAGAGCCACTTTCGAAGCAGGTTAATGAGGGCACAGCCCTTGGGATGCAAAGGACCCCCCACTAAGCACACCCGGGTCTACTTGAGGGTGGGGCACTCTGCACTGAGTACGAGCCACACCCTGGAGCCACAGGACAGGTGAGGAAGCAGAGCCAGAAGCATCAGGTCCCAGCCCAGCTGCCAGGTGAGAGGGGAACTGGGAACACCGAGCCGTCTCCGCTGCAGGAGCCCAGTGAGTCTGAGGGGGGTGGTGGCAGTGGGGACATGGAGCTAATCTGGGGCAGCAGATGGCCCAGGGGAAGGAGGCCTGGGGAAGCTGGAGATTCCTGGAACGTTCCGGGAGCTGAGCTGTCAGTGACTGGTGGAGAAGGGGCTCTGGGAGTAGGGCGGGGCAGGGTAGAGCCTGGGGTGGGGGTGCCCCAAGCAGGGTTTTGGGCAAGGCGTGGTGCTGCTCACGTCCCAGGCGGGCATAGCCCACATCACCAGTCTGACCATTGGGGCTCCCTTGAGGGCAGATAGCATGGTTTCAATGGCCCCTGCCCCAGCTTGAGGACCACGGCCCCCAGAGGAAGGAAGAGCATGTCCAAGGGCCAGTGGGGAGTGGGGATTTCAGGGTGGGAGGAGGCGGGCAGGGCAGGGCAGGCCTGGGATGCGGCAGGTCCCAGAGCGGTAGTGGTAGGCTACGGTTGGGGTGGTGGGCAGGGGGCACCCTGGAAGCAGGCTGAACCCAGGCCTGGGCCCCTGGTGGCAGCCCTGTGGATGGATGGTGAATCCAGCCTGGCTGGGACTGAGGACTTTCCTCCAGAACAGGGGCAGCTCCAGGGACACCCCGAGACCCCAGGGCCATGGTTTTCTTCCCCACAGAAAGGCTTCTGTCTTCCCCAGGCCTCTGGGTCTCCTGCGTGCAGCTGCTATGCACAGTGGTCTGCTTGGGCCCAAACAGTCCCTCTGTCCCCAGGAAGATAAAGTGGTCCCCCAACCCTCCCCCATCAGAAGGGAAACAATGGGGGCAGCTTCACCCTGACCCCAGCAGCCTCGCGGAGCCCAAGGGCAGGGCCTCCCACTGTGGGTCCTGGCTTATACCAGTGAAGCTGGCATTTGGGACACAGGGCCAGGCAGCGAGGGCAGCTTTGGGGTGTGGGGTGCAGAGAGGCTCCCAGCCTGGCCCACCTCATCAGGGGGTCGATCCAGTTCTCGCTCACATGGGCGGTCTCGTAGATGAGGCTCCATTCGTCCTTGATCCAGGAGCACAGGCTTAAGGGGTTGAACAAGAACCCGAGGAACTGAGAGAGAAGCAGAACCCTGAGGGAGGCAGCTCAATCCCAGACCCCCTGCAGCCGGGTGAAGCCCCCAGTTCCCCACACAAAGCCAGTGTCCAGGGGGCAGGTGTGGCTAACACACTGTGAGAGGAGGCCTCTGTCCACGCCAGGGTAGGAGGCCCCTCAGGACAGGCCCTCCCTCCCCAGAACAGAGAGGGGAGCCCAACTGCTGCTCACCTGCCCCCCATGCTGGTCTGGGGTGCCTACTCTGGGGGGCTGGCTGCCCACCTCACTCTGGAGCATGCCGCAACCCTGCAGGACCCATCCCCCTGGTGGGGACCCAGTGCCGGAGCTGACTGCCCAGAACTGGAAGGCCCACACCCACTTCTGGAGCATTCCTAGTGGGGACAGATGGACTGCAGCCTGCCTCCCTCACCCCATGGGTTCTAGAATTCCAAGAACGGAGTTGCATTGTTTTTTGCCACTGCCCCTGCCAGGAGTGGGCTCCAGGACTGAGCCGCCCAGCCAATCCACTGAAGTTGTCTTCCCTGGCAGGGCCTCTTGTGCCCTCGGGAGGGCCCAGCCCTGCCGCAGCAGGAACTTCCAGCGGTCCCAGGCTCCTGTTTTCTAGTCTGGGCCTCTAGTCTACCAGATTTGGTTCTAGAAGGCACAGCACAGCTTAGCTTCTCAGTGGAGGCCAGCTATCTGGGGACTGGACAGAGGGGGCTGTCCATTGAGTGTCCAGCCACTCCATTGGCTGGAGTGGCCCTAGCCAAAGGAGGTGGCCATCTGCACTGCTGGGAGGAAGCTCAGTCCCCCACCCCTGACCTGAGGGTCAGCTATGCCAAAGGCCTATTGGGGGGCTGCTCTGTAAGGGGCATGCACCAAGCTGAGCCACATCCCAGCTTTGAGGGTCTAGTCTGGCCAAGGGGACCACCACAGACCACTCAAACCAGGTGCCCAGAAAACTGGCTGTAAGGTGATGCCACGTGCTGAGTCCCCCAGGAGAGCTTTGGGTGGACACAGGAAATATGATGCCCCCATCTGGGTCCCCTACAGCGTGTCCTGGGCCATGGGTCTTGACTGGGGGTGGGCCAGGCAGCATGGGGGAGAGGTATGTGTCAGCAGCTGGGTCCCCGCTGTGGGCCTCTGGGCTCTGTGGGTCTGGGCCTACTGCCCCTGGGGCTGCTGTGGGGCTTCATGTCCGGCCCCTCACAGCTGCAGTGAACTCGGAGAGGCCAGGCTGTGGGATAGCCGCGGGCAAGGGGAGCAGTGGGGTAGCACTGCCACAGCCATGTCCTCATCTCCACCTCCCCTTGGGCCTCCACGTCCTTCTTCATGCAGTGGCTGCCAGGTGTCCTTCTACAGCCTTCTGCGGCTTCTCCGCTTGACAGTCAGGCCCCTCCCCAACCACCACCCAGGAGCCCCTCCCCACCTTCCCTGCCCCACAGTGGTCTTCTCAGCTGCAGGCCCGTGGCTACCATCCATCATCTCTCTCCTGCCCTCCCAGGTTCATTGCTGTCTTTCACCTGCTACCACTTCTTGCCTAAAGGGGCTCTGGGGTCTCTGCTACTCTTGCTCCTAGCAGATGCTCCCTGCTGCTCCATCCCTGCCCTCCCACTTAGCATGTCAGCTGGTCTGCTGCCCCCACCCATGGACAGGGCTTCCCAAAACGAGGTCACCATTCTCCCTGGGTGTGAAGAGAGGGCAGCCCCTCAGGGAACATACTGGAATGGGGGTGGGGTTCTGGGGTAGGTTCTCTGGCCGTCTGGAGGATTCCAGTGTGTGAACAGGGTTCCTTGGGGCCAGCAGGATTGCTACTCCCCTGGTCCCAGAGCCACATCCAGCACTGAGTCCCATGGAGACCACAGCCGAGGCTGCCTGAGAACCAGCTTAGTGCCTCGTCATCGCTCACCATGACAGTGGCAGCACCCCAGGTGTGGTCTGTGGGGGGCTTCCAGGGAGGGGCCCCAGGGCAGCCATAACATTCCCAACCTTGGCAGGTGGACCCAATGGGACTGAAGAGGGAGGTGGGGCAGGGGCAGAGGAGAGAGGGCACAAGGTGCCACTGCACCCCTGCAGCTCCCAGCTCCCTTGGGAATTTGTGTGGGCTGTTTCCAGGACTCTTTTTTTTTTTTTTTTCCAGGACTCTTCTAACAGAAAATCTCTGGGGGAGGTAAATGCATTGGGGGCACTGGGCTGGCTACACATGGCCAGCCCTCTGCATGCCTGTGCTGGGTCTGCACTGTGAGGCAGCCCCGGGGGGTCCTGTGCCGCCACCTCTGGGTTCAGGTCAAGGCTGCTTCTAGGGCCAGCTCCAGAGCTGCGAGACCCAGTCCAAGGCGATACACGGGCCTCTCCTTCAACGATGACCAAAAATGCCCAGACTCTGACCAGAGAGCAGACGCTGAATGGGCCTCTCTGAGCAGGGGAAGCTGGCCCTGGCTGCCTCCAGATATGTCTCAGAAAATGCCTACAGTTGTGCTTCTTTTTCACCAGAAAATGAAGACCTGGTTTAAGATAACTATGCAAGCATTTCTCCCTGTGAACTCTTTGTTTTTGTGTAGCTGGGAAAGCCCATCATTAAAGTAAACCACGACCTTGGGTCAGCACCTTCTCTGTGAGTCTTCTCAGGGACACACACTTAGAGCACTCCTGGGGCCCATGACCTGCGCTTCTCTGGGAGTGGTTTCCCTGGTCTGATGATGCCCCCGAGCTGAATGAGGAGCAAGCCAGTGGGTCAGAGCCTGGTCCCAGAATGGGCTCTGCTGCTCACTTGCTGAGTGACACTGGGCAAGTTACCAAACCTCTCTGTGCCTCAGTTGCCTCAACTGTGGGGTGAGTGCCAGCAGGATGACCTCCCTGGGTGGCTGTGAGGATGAAGCAAGAACTGCTCACAGATGAAAAAAAAAAAATAACTGCTCACAGATGAAGCCTGACCCATAGCAAATGCTCCATGGGAGCTGGCCAGCAAAGGACAGTGGGCCTCAAGCCCAGGCTTCGTGGTCCTGCTGGCCTCAGAGTCTGGGTGTCTCAGCTTTCTACACAAATAACAGGAGTGGCCCTGGGCAGGGCTGGTGTGCAGCCTCCCCCAATGAGGTGCCCGTCCTCAGGGCCTGTTCGGGACTTTGCTCCCTTACCTGCCCCTGAGTCCCCCACATCACGCAGCCTCTCTTGGAAGGACAGGCTGCCCTGGGTCTGCAGTTTGGTCATGAGTCAGAAGGGAAGGCTCTGGAAGCCCAGACTCCAAACAGGCAACAGACCCCTGTCAGCACTCACCAGGACCCTAAGGAATGGGAGTCAATCCCCAGGGGAAAGAGAGAGCATCTGTGCAGCCATGAGAGGGTACCAGCTTGTCATAAACACAGAATAAACCCAGCAGGGTTTCTTCCATTAAAATGAGGAAAGGGGGATCCCTGGGTGGCGCAGCGGTTTAGCGCCTGCCTTTGGCCCAGGGCGTGATCCTGGAGACCCGGGATCAAATCTCACGTCGGGCTCCCAGTGCATGGAGCCTGCTTCTCTCTCTGCCTCTCTCTCTCTCTCTCTCTCTCTCTCTCTCTGTGTGTGTGTGTGTGACTATCATAAATAAATAAAAATTTTAAAAAATTAAAAAAAATAAAATGAGGAAAGGTAAGATGTTGGCAGTAGATGGGACACATATCTGCCCTTGGGTTTGAGAAGAAAACGTAGGGGGTGCCTGGGTGGCTCATATGGTGAAGCATTTGCCTTCAGCTCAGGTCATGATCCCAGGGTCCTGGGATCGAGTCCCACCTCGGGCTCCCTGCTTCTCCTTCCCTGTCTCCCTCTGTGTTCTCTCTCTCTCACAAATAAATAAAATCTTAAAAAAAAAAAAAACAAGAAGAAGAAAAGGTGGGGCAGGTGGGGGTGGCTTACCTTGCACATTTTGTCCAGGGGCTGAGACCTGATGATGTCAGAGAAGAGCTGGAAGCCGAGTTCGTCCAGCTGGAACGTGGCCAGGTAGCAGATCACTAAGGAGACAAGGCTGGTGAGTGTGGGGACGACCATGGGGTGTCCTCCCTGCGCCCCCTAGCATCTGATCTTGGGGCCAAGCATGGTGGGTGGAGCAGGAGCTCCACCTGGCACCACAGGAAAGTGACAAGATGATGCATGAGTACAAATGGCGCTGTCTCACACAGGGGAGTATGTGGTGGCTTTCACACCACTTCCTCGCACCCTAACTCATTTGATGAGTTCTCAGAAATTCCCTGCATAAAAGTAAAATCATTTTGGATTTCAGTTTGTTAATGCTAAGAGACCAAGTGGCCTCGAAGCCAACTGGCACATGAACCTCCCTGGGCTTGGTGAGGGCCCTCTGAGGCAGGGACTATTTGCCATACCCATGGGTAGGTGGGCCAGTGATGTGCTGCTGGTGAGCCAAGTGTCCTGCAGTGCGGGCAGAGTACAGGAGCCAGCTTAGCTACCCAGCACCCTGCACGCTCCTCTTCTCCTGGGCAGGAGCACGAGGCCTAGTGCAGGGGCTGGGGGTGGGGGCTGAACCAACTCCCTCACTGGAGACACTGGTCACTGTGCCCATAATGTTCTCCACATGCCAGAAGGACAGGTGGCCATTAGGGGCCTGCAAGAAGCCAGGCAGAGACATCTCATGTTTAATTCCCTGCTGGACTGTCCCAACTGTGGCCATCAGGCTGGCCCTGCCCCTAGTCCTCAGGCTTTGAGGGGTCAGGAACTTGGTAGATGATAAAGGCTCCTCATTTCACCTGGGCTGGCCTTTTATTTTTTTATTTTTTTATTTTTTATAATTTTTATTTATTTATGATAGTCACAGAGAGAGAGAGGGGGGCAGAGACACAGGCAGAGGGAGAAGCAGGCTCCATGCACCGGGAGCCCGATGTGGGATTCGATCCCGGGTCTCCAGGATCGCGCCCTGGGCCAAAGGCAGGCGCTAAACTGCTGCGCCACCCAGGGATCCCTGGGCTGGCCTTTTAGAGGCATTCTCTCTAAAGCAGACTGTGCCCCTCTCAGAGATCAGAGGCTCTGCACCTGGACAGCAGGGCCTGAGGTCCGCCTGCCTGGAGCCTGGCCCTCAGCCTGCAGCCTGGCCCTCAGAGAGCCTGGAGTCCATGTCCATGTTTGTCAGGTGGATTGTAGTCTGCCCACCCAGGTAAGGGGCCGTGGGAGACCACGGAAAGCAAAAGTGCTGCAGAAACACCAGGAACTGGTGTCCAGTGCGAACACAGGGAGTGTCCGTCTGCTGCCACCTCACTGGGTCACCCCTGCTGTTGTGAGGCTGTGGCCCTCGTGCAGGAGGCCAGCACAGCAGGCCCGGCCCAGGGGGACACCTACCCTCAAAGAGGTTGTAGTCAGCCCGTCGGCAGAGCCAGCCAGCCCGCACGTAGAAGGCATCCACCACCACAGCCAGCAGCTTCCGGTACTCTAGGCACCCCGACAGCACCTCTAAAATGAATGCCTGCTTCTGGGGGCTCAGTGTCTAGAAAAGAGACAGCTGGGAGGGGGCTGGGGCCAGGGCCAGGTGTCCCCTCTGTGCCAGGGGAGAGCCAGTCAGGGCACCTCTCCCAGAGCAGGTGGTGAGCCCACGGCAGACCCCAGGATGCGGTCCCCCAGGGGCTCCTGGTAGTGACAGCGAGCTGGGGGCCCAGACAGAAATGAGTCATTCAAACCAACAACCCCAAAGGATGAAGGTACAGATTTTGCAAATACATGTGATTTCATGTACAGGAGCCCCAGGACAGAGCATGGGGTGAGGGGAGCCGGGATGGGGTGAGGCAGGCAGCTGGAGTTTCACAGGGACAGTTTGGGTGGGGAAGATGAGGAAGTTCTGGCGGTGGAGCGTGGGGAAGTGGGGATGTATTAACACCATAAAATCCCGTGCTTTACATGGTTAAGGTGGCAAATTTTACACCACCTTAAAACAGGTAGGCTTTACCACAATGAAAGAAAAGGGCAAAGTCTTATAAAGCGTTTCAAATGAATTATTAGAAAAGTAACCCCAAAGAAAAAGAGAATGGTAAGGGGGCCTCTGTGGGACTTGTCAGGTGTTCCAAGCCAGGTGAGGAATTGCCAGGAGCAGGAGGGATTGCACTCTGCTCTCCGGGGGTAGGGGTGGGTGCGGGGGGCAGATGCCAAGGAGCCTTTCCTGCAAGCATCCTGGGAATACGTTTTGGGTAACTTTACACCCTGTTCCTGTTCCCTTTAACCCAGCAATCACACTTCTGGGAACCTAAGAGAACCCTCCAAAATGCAGGAGATACCCACACACTAGAAGTTTAGGGCATTTAATAAAACTCTTTAAAGCTTTTTTCCCTCCATTGTCTGCCTTGTTATAAGCTTGAAATGTCAGCGGTTTCTGCCTGTGTCTGGCTGGCCTTTGCCATTTGGCAATCCCGTCGAAACTGAGGAGTGCCCTAACCGAATGTGCTTGAATGTCACCCTTGCACAGCTCTTTATGCTGAAAGACAAAATGTTTTCCCTTGCTGCTGGACATAGGTTCCAAACTTTTCAACTTTAGGAGAAAACAAAAAACCCCGTATCTTCCTGCATTAAATTTTAGACTAGCTCATATATGTTGTATTAAACCTGCCATATCAATTGTAATGTACAGATTTTGCAAATACTATGCTGTATGTGATGCCCAACTGTATCCGCAATGTACATGTAATACATTCATGCCCAATAAATGTTTTACTTCTTTCTGAAAACAAAAAGAAGTTCAAGGTAAAGGGAGAAAGTAAGAGCCCAAGTTTAACCAGGGGCATGGGGGGTGCTGTCTCCCATCACAGGGGAGCAAGGCACGCACTGCCATGATGCTCCTGCAGAACTTAGAATGTGGCCACAGGACAGATAATGTGGGATGAAGCCCGGGTGTGCACCTGGCCCCTGACAGGTGCAAAGCATATCAAAATCAACTCACCTGAAGAGTTGTTAAAAAAAATTTTTTTTTACCAGTATATTAGATACATTTTGGTATCTCATTTTATTTTGCATTTTTAAAGAAGATTTTATTTATTTATTTGACAGAGAGAGAGAGAGAGAGAGCACAAGCAGGGTGAGCAGCAGAGGGAGAGGGAGATCCCAGGACCCTGAGATGGGAAGGCAGCCGCTTACCCCACTGAACCACCCATGAGCCCCTTATTTTTCATTTTTTTTATTATCAGTGAAATTTTCATACATTTACTGGATATTTATTTGTACTTCTGTGAATTATCAGTTTACATTCTTGGCTAATTTTTATTGGGACAATATTTTCCTGAATTTTATTAGCTCTTTATATAGTGAGACAATTAACATATTCATTAATATGATAGTTATTTTTGTGAGTTTGTAATTGGTCCTTTAACTTTGCGTATTTTTTGGCACAGAGGTTTCTCTTTTTTCTGAGGCCAAATCTGACTTTTCCTTCATGGTTTCTTCATCTGTTTTCAGAGAAATGGGACCACCTGAGGGGTCCTGGAAAAGCCGCAGGACCTGGGAGAGCCTCTGTTCCCACGGATGTGGTGGGGCATCTGCATGTTGTCTCGGCAGACAGTGTCGCTTCCCCTGCATCACAGGGGTTGGAAGCCCGAGGATCATGTTCTTCAGTGGGTTCTGCCTCTGTGGTTCTGGACACAGCTTGGTCCTGCCCTAGGAGAGCCAGCAGGGCGTGAGAGACGACGCCCCTCTTCCTTGCCCGGCAGAGGTGACAGATATGCCATAGGTGCTGCACAGCATAGCCCTGGCTGTCCCAGACTCGGGTTCTGAAGCCTTCCCCACAGCTCCCCAGCTGTACTAAATCCCTGGCTCCTCCCAATGCCTGGTAAGGGCCCAGGTAGTTAGGTTCTCATGCTAATACTCTCCTGTGATGCCCTCTGCTCTCAGGCTCCATTGCAGGCTTCTGGTCTCCCAGTTTTGGCATGTTAGGGTGGGGGGCTCAGGGTCCATTCATCCCGCCCAGTTTCTTCACTGTCTGCACTCACCCCCTGGGGCACCTCATCCAGTGGCAAGGCTGAAAACCTGCCCTTCCCAATGTGTGTCCCCAGCCAGCCTTCCCAGACTCCCAAAAGCTCTGTCTCCACCTCTTCCTCCCCCCCATCTCACCCCCTGGTTTCTGCCTGAGGCCAGCCTCCTGGGCTTCGCCCCAACCTGCCCCTCCCCAGCCTTCCTGTCTCATAAGCACAACCCCTGCTCCCAGCTGTCCAGACCAGACCCCTTGATGCCTCCCTCTGCCTCCCACCCAATACCTCACGGGTGGGCCAGGGGAACCCAGCTGTGCTCTGGCTTCTCCTCTTGCCTGTCCTCTATTTCCAACCTGGCCACCAAGTGAGATCATGTCTGTCCTTCTTTAGAACCTTCCAGAAGGAGTCCTTACAGTGGCCAGTGAGGCCCTATGGGGACTGCTCTGGGCCCCTCTGAGTTCTTACCCAACCATGGTTCCATTCCAGCCCCACTGGTCTCCTTCTCATTGGAGTGTCCCCTCTAGGCCTCTGTGCTGGCTGTTCCCTCTGCCTGCAATGCTCGTCCCCACACACTTGCTCCTTCACTCCCACTAGGTCCTTGCTTAGGTGCTCCCTGACCTCCCCACAGTCAGATGCTGACCAGCTGTCTCACCTAGCAGCACACACTGGCAGTTATTCGCCCTTTCCTGCTAAAATGTCACCCCGGTGCTCATGAGGGAGGGAAGGGGACATCCTTCCTCCACGGGATGTACAGATTTTGCAAATACTATGCAAAGGCTGGGCACACATGGGGTCTCCTTCCACGGTCAGCTTTGGTCCCTGCAGGCAGGCTTCTGCGCCAGTTTCCCCCTCATGGCCCTCTGACCCCCAGACTATGCCCACACCGGGCACGCTTTGCCAGCGCAGCCCAGGGATCTGTGCAGGCAGGTCAGAAAGCAGTGAGTCAGCAGGGCCAGAGCCCAGGCTGCATGACTCTGCAGGATGCCTGCCCACAGTATCCCCCCTGCCCCCATCTCTGAGGCTCAGACAACAGTGACTCCGCTTCTCATGAATTACGTCCGCGTTTGGGAAGTGTGAGTATGTATTTTTAATAAGGTCAGAGCCTTGAGCCCGAGGCTGGAAGCCCTGATGCTGTAAATCCCCAGTAAGGAGGTCAGGCAGGGCTGGATGGGGCCCGGGGCCTAGAACACATAGAACCATGTGGTAAATGACACCCTGCCCCATGGGGGAGGCTGGGCCCAGGGCCAGGTCCTCACTGCTAAGGAAGGTCAATGTAGCTGGTCACAGAGAAGAGACTGAGGCCTGATGGGGGTCAAAGGGCACTGAGCTCCAGACCACTTCCTTCTGGCCAGACTGGCAGAGGGTTGCTGAGGCTGGGCTGGCCGGGCTTTCTCCAAAAGGAGGTAAGACAAGGGCAGAGTTGCAGAGAGGGCCCCAGTACCAGAGCTGAGCCTTAGCCTCAAACCAGCCTTGGTCATGGAACCCAGAGGGTGGTGGTTACCCAAGGGCCTCTGAGTTTTCTGATACCATGGCCCTTGACCAGCCCCCAGGGGAGGCGGCAAGCCTTTGGGTAACAGTTTCATGGACAGTCCTGGGAGATGGGGGGCCTGGGGCAGAGGACTCAGAGGCCTGCAAAACTGCCCACCATCAGCAGCCCCTGTAGGAGTTCCCAGATCCAGCTTGTCTGTCGGCACCACGGAGTTCAGGCAAGTGAGACCAGGGCCCAGGGCAGGAAAGGGGCTGGGGTGCATATTTCAGCCCCACGCAGAATACCTAGGGTCCCCTGCTAATCTGTGACACCAAAACCAAAGCCAGGGGGAGAAGCAGAGAGAGAAAGCTGAGGTTGCCAGATGTTGACATAACCCCTCCTCCATTCTTCCTGCCCAACAGAAGAATGCCATTTGGTCATGGTTGGTATGCTCAGTGAGAGCTTTTTCCAGGCCCCTGCTGATAGGGCCATGTAGCAAATTTTTTTTTTTTTTAATTCAGGAGAGACACACACAGAGAGAGAGAGAGAGAGAGAGAGAGAGAGAGAGAGAGAGAGAGAGAGGCAGAGACACAGGCAGAGGAAGAAGCAGGCTCCATGCAGGGAGCCCTACGTGGGACTCAATCCCGGGTCTCCAGGATCACGCCCTGGGCTGAAGGCAGCACTAAACCGCTGAGCCACCCGGGCTGCCTGCAAATGGCTTTAATCAATGAGATTTAATGGCTAATTGTCAGGTGTAGCCTCCAAGAAAACTCTTAGAAAGTTAGGCAGATTCACCTGGTACCTGCCTTATGCTATTTGCCTTTCTCCTCTTTTTACCTGGGATATGGATGCAATGCTGGAGACAGGGCAGCCATTTTGTGGCTATAAGACAAAGGTATATTCTAAGGAGGGCCAAGCAGAGAGGAAGGAGAATGTATTCCTTTTTTTTTTTTTTTAGGAGAATGCATTCCTAATGACACTACAGAGCTGCTGCGCCCACCCTAGACTGCCAGCCTGCAGAACGCTTCTTATATGAGATATCTCTAATTCTGTTAAGCCATTACTTTTCTGGATTTTTTTTATAGCTGGCTGGCCACGTGGGCCTCTGGGAGTGTGTGGTAGGGGAAGGAGTGGCCAAAGGCAGCACTCAGCATTCATCCCCCCTACAGGAAACTCTCAAGTCCACCATTGTGGTGCTCAAATGAGATGATATTTGTTCCAAAGTGAGATTACCTGTGGGGAGCAGATGAGGAGTGGTGCAGGGAGGAACTCCTTCTCATTCCCATCCTTCCTGAGGGTCCGGCCAGGGAACACAGAATAACCCAGGCTTTCGGGCCAGTGCAGGCTGCTTGCTGACCACAAGCCTGGTTGCTGGTGCCATCACCCCCTCCTCCTTCCATCCCTCCTCCTTTCTTAGCTCCAGTCAGGCCCTCAGCGCTGCTGTCAGGTCACCTGGAGGCTGTCATCTGGAGAGGCTAGACCCCCATGTCTCAGTGCCTACACCCACAGTGGCAAGGAGGGATCCCTTTCTGATCTATAGATCAATCTGCAGAGAGAAAGTCAGTGTGTCCTTTCCCCAGTCGACAAGTCCTTGGACCTTTCCCCACCCTTCAGTCAGACCTCCTCTCCACCTGGTCCCCAGAGCCCAGCATTCTGGTAGCAAACCTCAGTGTGCCAACCTGGCTCCTCCATCCTTGGCCTCCCCCAGGAGGCTCCTTGTCTGAAATGTCCTGGGGCTGCTGTAACAAGTTACCACAAACTTGGCAGCTGAAAACAATAGGGATGACAGAAGTCCAGAACTGAGGTGTTGCAAAGTCGGTGCCTTCTTGGGGCTCAGAGGGAGAGTCCACGCTGTGCTTCTTCCCAGCTGTGGGTGGCTGCGGCAATCCTGGTGTCCATAGCACACAGACGTATCACCCTAACTCTCCTCTGGGGTCACATGGCCTTTTTCCTTCTGTCTCTTTGTGTCCAGAGTTTTCTTTTCTCATAAGGTTTCTAGACACTGGATTTGGGGCTCAGCCTAAATCAAGGATGATCTTATTTTGAACTTCTTAATTATATCTGCAAAGATGGCATTTCTAAATGAGGTCACACTCACAGGTAACCAGCAGTTATGACTTCAACATATCTTTTTTGGCACCAATAAACCTGCCCTCCACCAGAAGGCTGGTCCGTTTGTGTGCGGGGTCACTTTCTTCCAGGTGAGTCTTGAGCCTTGGTCTACCAGAAAGCTGTGGATGAAACCAATTTTCTGATGGCTGGAGGCAAGAGTGTGTTGTCCCGAGTGCATTAGTCTCCAGCACCAACTGCCTGGACTCAAGGTGGACATTTGAAAGGATCTAGGAAAACCAGCGAGTCAGAAAATGCAGCGGGGGATGCCTGGGTGGCTCAGCAGTTGAGCGTCTACCTTTGGCTCAGGTCGTGATCCTGGGGTCCAGGATTGAGTCCCACATCAGGCTCCCTACGGGGACCCTGCTTCTCCCTCTGCCTGTGTCTCTGCCTCTCTCTGTGCGTCTCTCATGTATAAATAAAATCTTTAATAATAATAATAATAAAAAACGCAACTGCCTCTCCACCTGTGTGAGCGTTAGGGCCCCTCTCAGGGACCCAGGGTAGGACCCAGCGCTTGGCTGGCGTGTGGGCCTCCTCCCCACAGACACACACACATGGGGCATCACGGCAGGACTTGCCAGTAATGATCTGTTAGTTGTGGGGGAAAGTGCCCCCCCCACACTATTTGTTGTAATGAACCCAACTTTCTGTAATGGTGGTTACTGAGAAATCAAGACATTAACTGTGTGTGCTGAGCAGTGTGGGGGAGGCAGCCTCGGGGGGACAGGGTCCTGAGGACACAGCAGAGGCACTAGGGAGCCTGCTTGGTGTCAGAAGGTGGAAGATTCGGGTGAGGTCTCTCTTTCAGGACGAGAGTAGCAGCAGCAGTCATGGCTGATGGCAAAGACATGTGGCCGGCGTATGGGGGAGCTGCCACAGCCAAGCCTGAGCAGCAGAGGGGCCAGGCTGCAAGGGGGTACTAGGGAGCTGGTTCTGGCTGGGGAAAGAGCATAGTGGCCTGGCCCCTGGCTGTCCTCATCACCTCCCCACAATGCCTAGGGTCTCAGGGCAAGAGCTCAAGAGAGGGGTGCAGAGTGGGGGTGGGGAGCGCTCCCCAATCCCTGCCTAGTCCCTGTGTACTGCCCAGCCCAGCTAGCGGAGTGAAACTGCAGAGCAGGTCCTGGGTCAGCAGTCCCAGGCTTTCTCTTGGGGGAGAGTCTCCGGTTCCTGGAACCCCTCCAGTCCTGGGTACACTGCCCAGCGCCCCGGGCCCTTCTGCAGGCCACTCCCACCCACCCTGTCCTCTGTCCAGGTTTCCAGGCTGCTGTACCACAAGCAGGAAAATGCCCTCCCACACCCGGAGGGAGAGGGAGTCCACCTGTGGCCTGGGGCCCGGCAGAGGCCACGGCTGAGCAGGTAATGGGGCCAGAGGTGGGGCCTGGCCACAGCTGCCTCTCCAGGGGCAAGCACCCTAAGTAGCTCACAGGGGACCTGGGAAAGAAGTGCAAGTGCGGCAGCAATTAGAGGCAAACCTCCCAGAATTAGTGGCCGCAGCCCCTTCCAGTGGATGCAGGTGTTCTCCTGCCACTGGATGGCAATGGGCAGGCAGCAGGCCCCGTGGCAGTCCTACAGCATTTCCCAAGGTGGACCTGACCCCCTCCGGAGGCTCCATCCCCCAGGGCCCATGTCTCAAAATCCTGAAAGCAAGACCCCTGCAACACATGCTCCTCGGGCTCCCTGAGTACCCACCCTTTATGGATGGACTGATGGACACATGGCCAAAGTCCTGGATCCCAGGGAGGCCTCTAAGGGCTGTTGAGGTAGCAGGAGGTACTACAGTGCACGGCTCCCTTGCAGGCCCTCCAGCCCAGCCATGGGGTGGGGACCGTGTGGGGGCATAGGGATAGAGCTGGGCAGCTGGGGGGAAGGCCCCTTATTTCTTCCAGGTGTGGGTCACAAGATGAAGGAGCTGGGGGCTCCTGTGGGCCATGCTGCCTTGGCCAGCCCCTGACTGTGTTGGAGGTTGGTCAGCTCACTGGCTGCCCATGCAGAGCCTCCCTGGGGAGGAAGCTGACTCTTAGCTATCTTCAGTTTTGGAAGGTACTGTGCAGATATGTCCCAGGTCACAGTGCTGTGGTTTCCTCTCACGAGACTGGTCCAATGTGTATTCTGGACGCCAGGAATGCCTCTTGAGGCACAGAGGGGTCCCAGCCCTGAAGGGCTCCCTGGGAGACACGGCAGCCACCATTGCCACGTACCTTTGGATGGCGAGGCGCTAAACCCACAGCCTCTCCCCAGGTGGGAAAGAAAGCAGCTGTGAGGAAGGAATTTGATGTTATTTTGCTAGAAAGTAACTAGCTATAGGACATGTGTTGCTGGCACGCCTCCCAGCAGGCCCTGAGCTGCCATGCTAATCCTACCTGCAGGGAGGTAGACGCAGCCTCCAGGAACTGCTCAGGAATGTCCTTCTCAGGCTTAAATTTGTTCAATTGCTCGATGACAGTTTCAATGCATTTTCCATAGTAGGCCATCTTCCCAGAGCAGAAGCCTAAAAGAAAACCACTCCAGGTCATGCCCTCCATGACCTCTAGGCTATCAGCTCAGCAGGTGGTGAAGGCAGCCACAGAACACTTAACTACAGATGGGCCATCCCCCCCGGGAGCCTGGTGCCTCTCACAGTGAGGCCTGCTAGCTGTGGTGACCCCGGGCCTGCTTCCTGGACTATGTCCCTGCAGGCCTCTACCACGTGAGAGGCCTAGGCTGGCCTTGGGGAGCTGTCACCCACAGCCCCTAGAGGCTCCCAGGCTTCCCCCATGTGGCCCCAAGCCCTACAACTGTACACAGGTGGGGATGAGCCCTGGGAGGGGAGGGGGGCTCTGAGCATCTCAAAGCCCAGCTGGGGTTCAGTGACTGTTTATATAGCAGGTTTTGCCCAATGGGGTGGCTGACCTGATCCTAAAAGGTTGGGGCGAGGAGAATCCTCAGGTCACCAGATTCAACATCCCCATTTTAAAGACAAGGGACCCAATACCCAGAGAGGTTGCATAGTCAGATATGTGGTCAGACCTTGTATGGGCACTGAATGTTCCAGAAACATAATAGCTCTAGGAGACCAGTTTGCCCAGAGACCCTCTCCGGGAGACCTCGGAGAAGCTGCTTGGGGGTGGGGCTGGGGCCTAGGAACTGGTTCTAACAGGGAGCCCCCAACTCGCCCTTAGAGGGGGGTGCCCAGGCCAGCAGGGGTTCCTCCCTACCCGCCTCTCTTGTTCAATGTTACCAGAACCCCTGCTGGTCTTTCCAGCACCCACTGTTGGCAAAGCCAGGTTGCTAGTACCCTGGGGACAGTGGAGGAAACTCCCCTCCCAATAAGGTGGAAGGGCTCCAGATAGCAGCCCCCAGACCTAGACCCCCCCACAGGGTGGAGACTGAGTGGAAAAAAAAAAAAAACACTGCATACACTGTCCCTGGGGTCCCTGGGGGGATGACGCAGTCCACTGGCTGAGTCCCCCAACTGCTTTAAGGAGTGAGGGCCAAATGCCACCAGACGTGTCTGAGAACCGCTGGCATGAATCACTGGAACAAGCCAGCAAGAGGAAGAGCAGAAGCTGACAGCCGGTAAAGCCCAGAAACAACGCGCCGCTTCCCAAAGATGAGCGATACGGTATCCAAGGAACGAGGAGTATTGGAGGAAAACAGAGTTCTTGGAAATTAAAATATGGCAGCAGAACTACAGATAGAAATAGAAGAGGTGGGAAGTAAAGCTGAGAAAATCTCCCAGAGAGCATAAAAAGATGAAGAAAGGGGCACCTAGATGGCTCAGTAGGTTAGGCATCTGCCTTCAGCTCAGGTCAGGATCTTGGGGTCCTGGGATCCAGCCCTGCGTCGGGCTCTCTGGTCCTCGGATTGAGCCCCGTGTCGGACTCCCCACCCCATGGGGTGTCTGCTTCACCCTCTGCCTTTCCCTCCCCCTCTGCCCCTCCCCACACTCATGGGCTCTCTCTCCTTCTCTCAGGTAAATAAAATCTAAAAAAAAAAAAAAAAAAAGATACAGAAAGTAGGAGAAAAATCCCCAGAAAAGCAGGGAGCCACTGCAAAGGGTCTAAATGCCAATTAACAGGTGCTCCAGAAAGAGAAGAGAGGCATCACATGAGAGGATGTCCCCCAGCGGAAGGGGTCCCTGTGGACAGGGATCCCAAGCACCTTCTGTCACCAAAGGAGACAGAAGCCTAGGAAGGGACCAGAGTGTGGAGTAGCCTTGGATTCCCCTGCAGAGAGAGCCCAGGAAGCAGCAGACAAGGGACTCAGAAGCAGGAGAATTTCCAGGAAGGTGACAGCAGGTGGCAGGCCAAGGACCCCAGAACCAGAGCACGGGCTCCAGCGGCCCTGCACTTGCTTGGGGCGGGGCTTCCTGAGTGCATTTTCCTTCGTACTCAGGGAATGAGCCTTTGACACCTGCCTTGGTCAAGGTCGGGATCAGTTGGGGTCCTTTCCCCTCTGCTGGCTGCACAGCTGGGCCCCGCACCACCCAGCTCTGCAGGCCTAACTGGGGCTGTCCCCTCGGGGGCTGCTCTGGGGCCCAGCCCTAGCTGGGCAGGCCCATGGGAGCCTCTCCTGTGTGCAACCAGGAGAAAGTCCTCTCAGAACAGGAAATGCGCTGAAACTGGCTTGAACCTGTGATACTGAGCACAGCCCTGGAAACCCAGCCTCAGGAGGGTCTGGATTCGGAGACCAGTCAGTGGTTCTGCAGAAACCAGGGCAAACTGCAGGTGGCAGCAGCGGAGACCCACAAAGGACTCTAGTGTGAGAGTCCCTATTTCCCCATCAGGTCTTGTCCCAAAGTGCACATGAGCATCAGCACCGAGTGAGCTAGCTACTGGCATGGCCTGGATGCTGTGGCTGCCCCAGCAGCCACCTAGAGCCACGTGGGCCCAGGAGAAAGGACCAGGGACTGAGGTGGAGACACAGGCAGGGCGCAGGCAGGGGCACAGGCAGGGGCGCAGGCAGGGCACAGACACAGACCTCAGGAGGTTATGCATAAGGTGGAGCTCTCCTGGCCCCGATCCCACGGCTGCTAGGCCACTGAAGATGTGCGGCTTGGCCTATGTGAGGGCAGCAAATCATGAACTCTGCAGCCCGGGCCCGGGCCTGGGTGCTCCTCTGGGTGGGTTGCTGCCCTGCCCCACTCCCCGTCCTGCTGTCCTACCCCTGGTGATGGCATCACTGACCACACAGAGGGCCGCTCGGGGAATCTCTTCACCGGAGGCAGCACTGAGGGGTATGTAGCCAATTCTTTTTCCTTGGTATGGGGATCTGCACTCCAGGGAGCAGGGTCTGCCTGGGTCCCGGCTCTGAGTGAGTCCTCCATGGGGCCTGGCTTGCAGACTGCGGGAATGTCAGGCCTCGGGGTCCCTAGAGGAAATATTGACCTGGAAGAAGTCCTGGAAAAGACTTATTTTTACTGCTTGCAATCTTCACCCTAGCAAAATCTGATTTTCCTCAGCCTAATGCAGCTAATGGACAAACGGACATTTTATTTTATTTTTTTAAGTAGGCTCCATGCCCAGCGTGGAGCCCAACGTGGGGCTTGAACTCACGACTCTAAGATTAAGACCTGAGCTGAGACCTAGGGTCAGATGCTTAACCAACCAAGCCACCCACATGCCCTGTGTCAAAGGGACCTTTTAAAGGCCACTGAAAGCAGTGGCCACCCCTCCTGACATCAGAGGATTTGCTGGGCAGGATGGAAGCCTCAAGGCTAGAGGGCTGCCTGTGGCCCCTGGGGATGAACCACTCATAACTGGTTACTTGTGTTCATGGAAACCCTTTCTCCTGGGCCCCATGTCTGACAGGCTGTGGGACATTTATTGGTGAGGATCACCCAGTCTGGCTGCACCAACTGGCCATAAACCCACTCACCAGTTCTCCCAGGCCTGGCCCTCCAACCCCCCCCCCTTTTTTTTAAGATTTTGTTTATTTATTTAGGAGAGACAGAGAGAGAGAAAGAGGCAGAAACACAGGCAGAGAGAAGTAGGCTCCATGGAGGGAACCCGATGTGGAACTCGATCCTGGGACTCCAGGATCACACCCTAGGTGGAAGGCAGGCACTCAACTGCTGAGCCACCCAGGCGTCCCTGGCCCTCCATCCTGTAGCACAGTCCTGGTCTTTCCAAGCAGGAGGACCCAAGGCTTCTGGCCCGAGGCTCTGGCAGGTGGGCTAGGTGGCAGTGCTACCCTCTGAGGTGAGTGAGGTCTCAGGTCAAGGGCATCTCCTGCCACTAAGAGCCATTAACAAATCCCCCTCAGCTCCTGGGGGACCCAGCAGGGCCTCTCCAGCATGTCCTGCCCCTTCACAGCCTGGGGTCACAGTCCCAGGGGCCCCCTTCCTGCTTGCCCTGCTGTACCCCAGCTCTGTCTACCCAGGCTTCTCACTGACTCACAAGCCTCTTGACTTGTATCTCCTGAACCTCGAATACTTAGTCCTCTCTGTGGTAAGCTCCTAGGCATTCCGCAACACCTGGTGCAAATAGCAGCGCCTGCAGAGCCGGCCTGCCTCCTCCCTTAGCTCTTCCCTTCTCTGAAATCACCCAACTTGTGTGATGCCCCTGTGAGCACCTGGCGTAGGACCCCACTTTCCTGCCTCTAAGTTCTGGCCCTTCCCCAGAGCTGGCCCCTGGCATGTGCTGCAGACACGTCTGTGGGATGAATGATGGGATGCAAAACTGTGCAAAAGGGTCGAGTACCCTAACTGGCTCTTAGTTTTTTGTTTTTGTTTTTGTTTTTTTAAAGATTATTCATGAGAGACAGACAGAGAGACAGGCAGAGACACAGGCAGAGGGAGAAGCAGGCTCCATGCAGGGAGCCCAACGTGGGACTCGATCCGGGTCTTCAGGATCACACCCTGGGCCCAAGGCGGCACTAAACCGCTGGGCCACCCGGCTGCCTGCCTTAGTTTTAATCTGAAAGATGGCTTTGACATTTAGATATAGACCTATCCAAAGACCACATTAACACTTTTTTAAACCTTCATTCCCACAGATCCTATAGTTCAACAGGGTTCAGTTTATTGTTTCACCTAATTGGAGAATAATTGATACCACAACAATGTTTACTGAGCACTAAATGTGGAAGACAACAGACCCTACAAGGGTTTAGGCTCCCTAGCCCCAAGGAGGCTTTCCTGCCTGTGGAGCGCCAGGTCCAGGCTGGTTCTGAAGATTTCCCAACACTCAACAACACCTTGGGGTGAGCCCTAACTGAGTGAAAGGGGCACCGTGTCACCATAAAGGAAAATAATATTTACACATTCCAGAGCTCACAGGGAAAGGACTGCAACTAGTGAAGAGTCTCTTTATAGAAACGATGTTAAGGATGTGGGTTTGTTTTTTTTTTTATCCCTCCCACCGACCATCACTTGGGGGCGTTGCCTTGGGGGATGGGGTCTGGCCCTTGACTCTACCTTCCCGCATCTGCTCAGAACACAGCTCTGATGGAGAAACACATATGGTCAGGAAAGGGCTCCCTCCTGCACCTGATGTAGGTGCTGCTCCAAGGGCAGGATGGGGATGACTTCCCTGCCCTCCCTCCTGTCCTGGAGTTGGAACATTCTGAACAAAGGATGCTCCAAGAGGCCCTTTGGTGATCTTGCAAGTCCACGAGGAACATGAGAACCGCCCAGGCCCTCCCCCCAATCCAGAGCGGGCCTGGATGGAACAAACTGGAAGCAATGAATGGATGGGCCAGGTGGAAGATGCAGAGGGGAGTCTGTGGTGGGGACAGAGGGACCCCTGGGGAGCCCAGCTGGCGTGAACCATTAGTCCTTGCAACTCTGGCTCACTGTCCCCCTCAGGGCTCCAGGGGCAGGGGCTTTGCACACCTACCCCAGCAGAGAGCCGTGGTACCAGGACCGTAGATGTCAGGACAAGAGACATTTGAGTTCTGCATTCTCACTGAAATTAGCTTGTGAGCTCAGTCAACATAGTGACGTTTTGGGGTAGGAGACAGGTACTAAAGTCATCTGATTCTGATCCATGCTCTTAGCACCTCAGCTTTGTTTTAATGGGGGTAAAACCAGATATGTGGGTAGTATTTAACTTCCAAGATTTAACTCCACTAATCAAAGACTTGACTGTCTCATATTTAAGGAAATTTTAAGGTGGGCTGGACCAAAGCTTCTCTTTTCTTAGCAAATCCTTTACAGAAAGAAACAAAATTACACAAGGTTCAAATCCCATCAGACCCAAAACCAGCTGCTAGAAAACCTCCATTTATGTAGATACCAAATGTGTGTTAATTCAACTATATTCTTTCCCTGGCTTTTGATTCTGAGTAAAAGTCTCCTAAGGATTTTTGCCATGTCATGCTCTGATGACTTGTGCTTGAAGTACAGACCCACATGGCAGGTTTTGCTAGTTGCTCTTTAATCTCCACTCTCCTTTTCCTTCTGAGTAACAAAACACCACATTTTGGTTGGGTTTATTGCTGCCCAACTGAAAGACGGTATTTCCCAGGCTCCCTGGCAGCTGGGTATGCCATGAAGTACAAGCGTGTGAGCCCTCCGGAAAGTCTCTCTGAAAGGCAGAGGCATATACCCTTCCTCTTTTCCATCCTGCTGCCTGGACTCAGGAAGTGATGGCAGGAACTTGGGCAGCTACCCTGGACTGTGAGGAAACCCATTCAAGATGGCAGAAGAGGAAGCCAGGAGAGTCTAGGTCCCTGATGGCTTTTTGTGGCTGCTATAATTTCCAGGATTGCCTCCCCATTAACCTCCTCTATGGAAACATGAATAATCTTATTTGGACCACTGTGATCTTAGGATTTTTCATTTTTCATTGCATGCAGCTCAGTCTTTTAAAAAAATTATTTTAAAAGATTTTATTTGTTCATTTGAGAAAGAGAGAGTGCATGAGTGGACAAGGGCAGGGACAGGGAGAAAGAATCTGAAGTAAACTCTGTACTGAGTGCAGAGCTGAGTGAGGAGCTTGATCCCACAACCTATGAGATCATGACCTGAGCTGAAACAAGAGTTGATGCTTAACTGACTGAGCCCCCCAGGCACCCCTAGCTGAACCTAATCTTATACTGATACACCCACTTCCCTCAGGTCAGCCTTCCTCCCAAACACAGTTTCAGCCTGGGAAGCATAGGAGGGAAGCCTCTGCAACAACAGCCCCAGCTTTGGAGTTGGCCAAGGACAGAACCATAGAGAAGAGTCCTCCAAGTGTCTACCCTGAGTCACGTGCTAGAAACTGGCTGTGGAGGAGCAGGTCTCACCCGGGCGGGGGGAGGATCGAGAGTCGGCTTGGACATGTTGCCTTTGAGGGGACTTGTTAGACTTTCACTGGCAAAGAATAGATACAGGGTTCTGCCATCCAGGGTGATGTTCAGGCTAGAGGTATAAGTTTTGGAAAGGTCAGGAGAAAGCAGCTTCTTACCAGATCACATGACCGCAGAAACTCACCAGGGAAGGAGTGGCTAGAAGAGCTTCCAAGGACTGAGTACTGGGGCCCCTAGTGTTAAGAGGCTGGGGAACCAAGGAGGCCTCCGCCAAGAAGACTGAGAAGGAGCAACCAGAGGAGGGGAGGCAGGGAGTGATCCATTCCAGCCAAGGGAGAATGGTGTGTTCAGGAGAGGAGCACTCAGCTGAGTCGCTGCTGCTAACAGTTCCAGGAAGAGATGGGGCTCTGATCATTGGACTTAGCAACACCGAGGTCAAGGATGACTGATGAAGAACTTTGGAGGAGGAGGTGGGTGAAAATCTGATCAGAGTGGGCTCCCGAAAGAAGAGGCAGAAAGAAATGAAGATAAGAAGCAACCTAGGGGGTGGGAGGTGCTGCTCCATAAGGAAGCTGGAGGGGAGTGGGGAAGATTAACTAGGTGCTCAGTAATGAACATGGCTCCCCACCAGCAGACAAGGAAATCTCCGCGGCTGCCTGTGCCTAGACCCACTGCCTTTCATAGACTGGAGAGGTTAGGGATCCAGAACCATCAGAGCCTATAGCCCCCGGGCCACTGATAACGTGAGTCTCAGACAACAAGTTCTCTATCAAGGGAGATGTTACTTCGTTTCCTGCACCCCAAATCTGCACATTTCAGAACACCCAGAGCAGTGCTGGGTGTGGGTGTGCTTTTCTTGATCTGGACCCCCTCCTTCAGCCAAGAGCACAGCAGCCTCTTTGTGCCTCAGTTTCTCCAGCTGTCAATGGGAATTTAAAATGTTTTGTATTCAACACATATTTGTTTTTAGCTCTCTGCTTGCGACATAAATAGGTTCTTGGATTTTGGATCCAAATTAGGGCACCGTTGGGGAAGTGGTGAATATGAAAGAATATCTATTTAAAAGCACCGTTTATTGTGACGATTTAAAAGAGAGGGGGGAAAAAAAGCACTGTCAACTTTAATGAAAGAGCTGGGAAGAAGACCCAAAAGGTGGTTATCGAAAGCAAGATGAGAAGCAAAGAGGAAGGTGACTGGCCCACAGACCGTGGGAAGTTGCCAGAGCGATGCTGATGCTGATGCTGAGGGAGCGCGCCCTGCCCTCCACCCTTCGGTCCCACCTGCTCCTTTCCCACCTCTTACCTGTTGGCCGGCTTCGTGGGCACTCCTGCCACCGCACCTCGCGGACCACTTTCCCCCGAAGCCACACCAGATGCCAGGGCCAGGGGGTGCAGCAGGTCTCGCGAATCCAGGCAGGTCCCCACCTCACTCCAGTTTAGCCAGGACTTCCGCCACCACTCGCGACCGGGGGTGCGCGCCGGGGTGCAGTTTGGGCGTCGTCACCTAGCAACCAGCTTCACGCCCCGGCGCCCCCGGCGGAAAGACTACAAGCCCCAGAATGCACAGCGCCCGCAGCGAGGCCAAGGACGCCGCGTCCGGGGCCCCGCCTCCCCGCAATGCCCATCGGGACTTGTAGTTTTTCTCCCTTGCCGGGAGCTCCGGATCGCCCTCCGGCGGGGAGCGCGCCTCGGGCGGGGCGCCGCACGGCGCCGCGGGATTGGGCGGCCTTCGCTGCCCTCGGCGGGCAGGGGGCTCGCCGTGCGTCGGCGCATGTGCGGCGCGCGGCGCGGTGGCCGGCGAGGCGCGGGTGTCAGTGAGCTGCGAGGAGCCGGCGCCCCCGTGCCGGCGTCCGCCCGCCCCCTGGTCCGCCTGCCGCGGTGCTGCGGGGCCGCCCTGCGCACAGCTCGCGGAGCATCTCCGGCCGCGCACCTGCCCCGCACACCTGTCCGCCGCTCTCAGTCCGGCCCCGCGCCCGGCCACGCTCGCGCCAGCCGCCCAGGTACCGCGCGGGCCCCGGCCTGGCCCTGCCCCCGTGTCCGCCCCGCGCCGCAGCCGGGCGGGGAGCAGCGCTGCGGAGGCGAGGGCCGCGGGGCCGGGCGGGCGCGGCGATGATGAACAGGTTCCGAAAGTGGCTGTACAAACCCAAGGTGAGCGCCCCTCCCTCCCTGACGGACAGACCCTTCCCCGCGGTACTGACCCTCTCTCGCCTGCCGACACCCCCCACCTCCATCCACTCTGTGACCCGCACACCGGGGCGCGGGACCCCACCCTCCCCCAGCCGGGTCCTGGACCCTCTCTCCTCCCGCCGAGCCCCTCCCCCCCAGCTCCACTCTACGACCCGCCCGCCCAGTTGCAGGATCACCCCCTCCCTAAGCCGGCTCCTGGACCCTCCTGCACCCCGGCCCCGGCTAGGGTGCGCTTCCCTCGCTGCCCGCGGCCAGCAAGCGTACTTTATCCCCGACGGTCCAGCGTGACGCCCCTCTCGCACCCCTTGGTCCCCGACCCGCACCTCGGAGCGGACCTCCTTCTTCTCCTGGGTCCTGGAAGGACTTCTCCATCCTTCTTGCCTGCACGGGGTTGGGGGGGGAACACCCCTCTTGCTGATCACCCAGTTATCCTGGGTCCGGAACCCACCCCCAGTCTCCCTCCACGCTCCGGAGGAGACCCTCTCCCTACCTCCCCCAGGTTCTGCAGGGGACCCCCGCTTTCCCCGTGTCCTGGGTCCTGGACGGACTCCTCCGACCCGGTCCCACCGCCCTGGCCCTGCCTTCCCGAACAGCACTGACCCGAAACTTGACCCGCTGGTTGGCCCGCGCCCACCCTCTTGCTCTGGAATCCCGGACCCGTGCCCTCCTCCGCGGCGGGGTCGGGGTCCGGGCGGCGCGCCCTGCGCCTCGTTGGCTGCGCCAGTCGCACTGCGGGCGCTGCGTCCCCGCCACCGGCCCAGACTAGTGCCTGCCTTGGCCAGAGCAGGGCTGGGGGCGGCTGTGCCTGTGGGGGGCGCAGGGTCCCAGGCCGCAAGCGGGGCCGGCGATGCGGGGGTGGGGGGCGCTGGGGTCTGCGCTGGGCGATACCGCTCGGGCGAGGTCACCGCGGCGACCGGGATACATGGAGGCCAATCCCAGGAACCACTACTTCCGGGGGGCTGACCACTCTCCTGGATCCGGCTTCCTAGCCCTCCCCCTCGTGGGTGGTCTCCCAGGATGGGTTTTCTTTAAATGTGTCCCCTCCGGGCGCTCCCATTGCGGTGGAGGGGGCAGAGGTCCGTTTGGGAGAGAGCCCAGGAACCTTCAGGGTTCCTGCTTCGCTGTCTTTGGGGTGGGAGAGTTCTCCAGAGTGTTGGGTTGAGGGTTTAGGATGCCAGGGCTGTGCACCTTGCTCCGCCTTGGCCTCATCCAGGGAGGATAGGAGTCCCTTCCTGCCAGGTACAGCCACCTACTGGCCTGCTCCCAACCTCTTTCTCCGAGGTGCTGTGTGTGGTCTGGAGCCTCTCTGCCCTTAGCCATTTCCCAGCAACCCTCCTGGCTGCAGCTCCCCCCAAGGCCAGTCCCAGTCCTGCTGTCCTGCTGTAGGCTGCCAGGGGGAGGTGGCAGCTTTCGCACAGGACATCTGTACAAGGAATGGCTTTTTGTTTGTGTTACTTCTGTCCCCGGTTAAGGAAAAATCAAGTCTTGTCAAAAGGTCATTTCTAGGCTGGGCAGCAGTGTTATTTTTTCAGTGCATATGCAAGCAAGGGAAGGGAAATTTATCGTAGGTCAAGTAGCATTCTGGTATTTCCAAAACCACTTCTGTCAGGAGTCCATGGGCTCCGGGATGCTTTTTTCCATCCGTGGCTCTGCAGTGGCCTTGTTTCCAGGATCATGTAACAACACCGTGAGGTTGGAAGGGAAGGAGAGGTAATTGCAGGTTCTCTGTTTCATTAATGATTGGGTACTTTCAGTGGCCCTGCCTGTTTCAGTTTAAGGGAAAGTCTTTAGAAGTGGGAAATGATACTGCCCTTGAGGTTTTGCCCCAGAATTGAGAACAGTGTCCCTAAATTTCCCTCTTCAGCAGGCAGCTGCCTTCCAAGGCAAGCTCCAGGGGCTGACCTGGCAAGGTGGAGAGTAGTGATGGAGAATCATGCTGCAGGAGGAAAGAGGAGTGGTACTTCATCTGGTCCTCAGTGGCATCTCAGGTCATGTTGTCTGACTTGTGTCCCTGACTCCTGGACTCAAAGACACATCTCCATTTGAGATCTTTGTGTCTGGCCATGGCATGGTACCCTGTGGTCAGCATGAGCCTGGGGGTCTGTTGTTTGAGATCTGTCTTTGGAGTTAAATATCTTGATTGTTTGGAGGGCCGGACTATGTTAGGTCACCCCAGTAGCCTTTCATTTTTCAAGCCAAAGCTCAGACTTTTGTCTTGGATTATGAATTGAATTTTGTGTTTCCCCCACCTTTTCCATTTAACCCATTTGGCACAAGTGAGCACAGAGTCAGTCCTGGGAGGATTTGGGGCTGGCAGAGCAGAAGTGTGAGAGTCAGCTATGGGGGGATGTGTCTGGGGGAGACTGTTGCCTGCAGTTGGGATTTTTTTTTCCCACTTTTGTATTTAGATAGATATACAATTCAAACTGCATTCTTGATATAATCCCTGCTTTGGTTTAAAACTGAACACTGAGCTTCTTGTTCATTACAATTCAGTGGAAAACATTCTGAAGCCAAAAATATTCATTGTTCTTGCAGTTCAAAAAAGCATTTAGAAATGCTTTAAAACATTCTGATGCTTAAAATTTTTGATATGTGAATCATTAATAATGATTGAGTTGTTGAGTAAAAAAAAATCCTGATGTATGATATACTCATTTAACATGAAAATGGCATTACCTAGCTCTCATATTTCCATTTACTTCTTTTCAAACAGCCTTTTAAACCATATGATTTTTCTTCATGTAAACTGTTAGGGCTCTACTGGTGTTACCAGGACCGGATGGTAAGCTGCCTGGGAAAGGCAGTGTGTGGGAAAGCCTATCAACCTGTCCTTTGTAATGTCATTGACCTGCTTTTTTGGCTTCTGTTTAGGGAAAGCCCTCTTAGAAAGAGTTAACTTTAAAAAAGTGGAAACTTCGGAATAGCTGGTGTCTTCATCTGAAAGAAAAATATTAATACTTGTGTTTTTGCTGGGTTACAACTTTCTCGTTGATGCCTGGTCACTGTGCTGAGGGGTGAGATCCTGGCACAGTGGAAGGGGTTCCCGGGCAAGGCCCAGCCAGGACATCTTGGCCACCATCAAAGAGCATCCTTAGGATGGTGCAGGTTAAAGTTGTGTTTTCCATCTCCTAGGAAGACTTGTCATGTGGGTAGGTGAGGCTGTCCAGCTGGATGGGGATTTCCATGTTCAGCCATGCATCCCACGAAGAGCTCTCTCATCTGTACCTCCAAACCACTTCTGGGGTGTGGGTCATTAACATTCCTTGTAAATATGGTGCTTTAGTGGGTGATGTTTATCTGGAAACTTTCAGTTTTCTGGGTTCAGGTTAGAGATGAAATGGCTTTCTTAGAGAGAAGCCTGAGTGCTTTCGGTAAGCTTTGTGACTCTTGGAGCTTTGTGAAGTCTGCTTGGGGGTGGCCCCAAACAGGGTGTTTGTGGGAATTCCTGCTGGCAGCTGTGGACTTAACTCAGCTTCCGTGGGTTAGGGGTTGAGAGCCCTGCCCAGGGTCCCTCCTGGTTTCCAGAGTCTGAGGCTACCTGCTCATGGGTGTGCAGCGGGCCCTCTGTTCCTTGACCACCTGGCAGAGGGTGGCAGCACCCTAGAAGGGCAGTGGCAGATAGGAGCCCTTTAGGTATTAAACCAGCAGGTCACAGGGCCACACGGAAGGCCTGGGTTTGCATCTGTGTGCCCCTAGTCATCCTTTCAGGGCTTCCCTACAGGGACCTAGAGAAATATCAGTAGGGCATCAGTAGACCCCCAAAGCATGGGGCACTGTGAGGAGCTTTGCCGTGGAGGCCGGTGAGAGGTATGCTCTTCCCTCCACCTGGGTCCTGCTGCCTCTGGGTCTGGCGGGGCAGCATTGTCACAAGCCTTGATTTCCCCACTCTTCTCGCCTGGGACGTAAGCTGCTGTCCTTACAGTACCATTTTGGAGCCTGGCGCCAGGTACAGACACTGTTTCAGGGGCTTGGGGCTTTGATGCGAACTTCCAGTCAGGCCACTAAAGGACTGGTTTTCAGCTGATAAACTCTGAGTGCCCAGCTACAGCTGAGGCTGTCCTTAGGGTAGCTCACTACTCTCTGTATCTCTCTGAGGTGAGCTACTGGAAAGCCAGTGTTCTGGAAAGCCTGGCCCCATGGGCTGTGCCAGTG